AGCTTCACCGCCCCAATCTCGCTGCAATCTCGCTGCAAGGCGCGTCCCATATCTCCCTTACCTCTCCCCATATCCCCCCATATCTCCCCCTATCTCCCCAAGATCCCCCCCGCCCCTCTCTCTCTGCCAGGCTCCGTCAAGCTACGCATCCGCTGGCGCTCCGCAGCCGCCGAGTGGGCCGAGGCGAGGGAGGCGGCGCTGGCGGCGGCGCGGCCCCTCCCGGTCCCGGTGCCGCCCTCCTCGCTCTCGTCGCGAGGCGTGGTGTCGGTGCGGCTCTTCTCGGCGCAGGAGCGGCACATCTCGGCGACATCTCGGCTCGACATCTCGGCTGCATCTCGGCGACATCTCGGCTCTTCTCAGCTCTTCTCAGCTGCATCTCGGCGACATCTCGGCGGCATCTCGGCTCTTCTCAGCTGCATCTCGGCGATATCTCGGCGATATCTCGGCGACATCTCGGCTGCATCTCGGCGACATCTCGGCTCTTCTCAGCTCTTCTCAGCTGCATCTCGGCGACATCTCGGCTGCATCTCGGCTCTTCTCAGCGACATCTCGCCGACATCTCGGCGACATCTCGGCGACATCTCGGCGACATCTCGGCTCTTCTCGGCGCAGGAGCGGCACATCTCGGCGAAATATCTCGGCTCGACATCTCGCCGACATCTCGGCTGCATCTCGGCGACATCTCGGCTGCCTCTCGGCGACATCTCGGCGACATCTCGGCGACATCTCGGCTCTTCTCGGCGACATCTCGGCTACATCTCGGCTACACCTCGGCTGCAGCTCGGCTCTTCTCGGCTGCAGGAGTTGCGCGGCGCGGACGCCGACGGTCTCTCCGACCCTTACGCAGAGGCGCGAGAGATCGCCGAGAGATCGCCGAGAGATCGCCGAGAGATCGCCGAGATGTCGCCGAGAGATCGCCGAGAGATCGCCGAGAGATCGCCGAGAGATCTCCGAGAGATCGCCGACCCTTACGCAGAGGCGCGGCTCCGTCAGCAGTCGCTGGCTGCGGTGTACTGGACTCACTCCGACTGCCCTTCTTCAGCGCCTGGCTGCTGCTCCTCCCTCCTAGGTGCGGCTCGGCAGCCGCGGTGCTGTCCGCTCGTCGATCTGCTCGAGGAGACGACGCTGGATTTGGGAGGGAGAGGCCTTCCCGAGGCGTCTGTGTCTGAGTTCCGTCTCTGACCTCTGGCCTTGCAGGACGCGCGACCCGGTCTGGGACGAGACCTTCTCCTTCGGCGGGGAGGTGTGGAGATGTGGGGAGATGCATGGGGAGATGTGGGGAGATGTGGGGAGATGTGGGGAGATGTGGGACGAGACCGTCTCATGTGGAGATATACTGGGGAGGTGTGGGGAGAGATGCGGAGATGTGGGGAGATGTGTGGAGATACATGGGGAGATATGGGGAGATGTGGGGAGATATGCGGAGATGTGCGGAGATGTGCGGAGCTGCGGAGATGTGGTATGGAGAGATGTGGGACGAGACTTTCTTCTTCGGCGGAGAGATGGTGCAGCCGCTGGCCATCAGCAGTGGCTGCTAGTTTGCAATGCGTGGGCTCAGGTGGCGCAGCTGCTGGCCGAGCCGCTCGCCATCTCCCCATATCTCCCCATATCTCAGGTGGCGCAGCTGCTGGCCGAGCCGCTCGCCATCTCCCTCTACGACAAGGACGCGTCACGACTCGACAGAGACGACTCGCTCGGCAAGGCGACACTTCCTGGACACCTCCTAGACACTTCCTGGACACCTCCTAGACACTTCCTAGACTCTTCCTAGACACTTCCTAGACACTTCCTAGACACTTCCTAGACACTTCCTAGACACTTCCTAGACACTCCCTAGACACTTCCCAGACACTTCCTAGACACTTCCTAGACACGCTCGGCAAGGCGACGCTTTGCCCTCGCCCTCGCCCCACCACCTCGTTGTGTGTGTGTGGAGACGCTCACCTCGCCTTAGCTTTGCCTAGCTTGGGCGACTCTGGACCTCTCGCCGCTCCGCACGCGATACCCACAATTAGACTGAATGACAACTACATCGGTCGACTGTACTCAGGCGACTCTCGACCTCTCGCCCCTCCGCACGCAATACGCGGCGGCGCTGACGGGCACCGTGCTCTACAAGCGATCCCAGCCTCGGGGGCAGGTGTGGGCTCACACGCGTCTCTCTCGGCTATGCCTCTCGGCGATCAGCGGCACCTCGGCGACACCTCGGCGACACTTCGGCTGCACCTCGGCGACACCTCGGCGACACTTCGGCTGCATCTCGGCGACATCTCGGCGACACTTCGGCTGCATCTCGGTGACATCTCGGCGACACTTCGGCTACACCTCGGTGACATCTCGGACATCTTGGCGACACTTCGGCTGCATCTCGGCGACATCTCGGCGCCATCTCGGGGGCAGGTGCACGCCGTCGTCTCGTGGGTGAGCGGCGAGGAGCCCAGCGGCGACCAGGCGGGGCAGCAGCAGGCGGGGCAGCAGCAGCCGCCCTCTTCTGGGGGAGCGGCGCAGCCGCCGCCAGGGCTGCAGGGTCTCCGGCTGCCAGCTGTGAAACTGCCGCCGCGGCCGGCCAGGCTCTCGCTTGGCCGGGTGGGCCGGCGGCAGGCTGCGTCGATACGTGGCCAGCATGGCGCGAGCCCCGACGGGTCGGGCTACAGCCCGTCAGGGGGGTCCGACTTGGCTGTCTGAGAGGTGTCACATTCCCTCGTGGCCGCGCCCCCGCTAAATAAATAAATCCAACGGACACCTCTACTAGGAGATGGGTAAAAAGAAACGGGTCCCCGCCCGTGCGATCTTAATGCTTGATTTAATGCAGGGTTCTCGGGTCGGGGTGCGGGTGGGGCGGGGTTGTGGGATGGGGATTGTTGGGGTGGGCCAGCCAGGGAGCACAGTGCATTGCCGTCGCGAGTCGTACTCCTTGCCGTCGCGCATCAGGCCGAGGTCGAGCGAGAGATGGAAGCCCTTGGTCAGGGTCGCCAAGCTACTCTCGGCGAAGCACCTGCCTCGGTCAAAATACGCCGCCACGTTGGTGCCGTCGGCCTGGTCCTCCGCCTCGTGGCCGTCCGGGAAGGAGGTCAGCCGCAGCACGGGCGTCCATTGGTGGGAGTAGAGCGTGCCGAGGCAGCCCAGCCCCTGCTTGAAGAGCGCGTTCTGCTCCGCGGTGCGCATGACGCCGTTGGCAGGGTCTGGATGCTGGTGCAGCGAGCCGAAGTCCCAGTAGACGCCGAGCCGCGGGTGATGGTGGGGCAGCTGAGCACAGCCTTGAGCGCCCTTGCGACGCGGGAGAGGTTGGCTCCGCGCGAGTCGGGGTGGTCCTTGCTCAGCCACGGGTAGGAGAGCGTGCCCAAGGGAAGGCTGCTCACACTCTCGCTGGTCGCCTCGACGAGGTCGGCGAGGGAGAGGAAGGCCTCTTTGGGCAGCGCCTGGCGGCGAGTGAGGACGCCTCCCGCCTCGGCGTGGCTGATGATCCACTGCGCGTCGAGGAGGGCAACGGCGCCGCTCGCGAGGATTGGCTCCAGGGCGTCGCCGCGGAGCTCGCACCACTGCTCGTATCGCCTCTCCTTGCTCGTCGTGAAGCCCATGGGAGTCCAACCGCTGTTGAATGAACGTACGAGTATCACGCCCATCTAAAACAAAGAATGACGCTGCGAAAACGTGGCGAGACGAGATTGCACCGGCGAATGAGTCTGAGTGCCAGGCCCCCAATTTTCCTGCAAACGTCGGCAACTATGCTACGCTAATAGGGCGCCCGTCGACTCCCGCACGGTGCTGCTGCTGCTGGCCGACAATTCTAGCATGGCTCGTCTACTGTGGCTACTAGTCGCACCCTTCCTGGCGCCCGTGGCTTCCCACGAGGTGTCCCACACGCACCCCTGCGAAATCAGCAGCAACGTCGCAAAGGACCCGCACATCAGCTTTGCCCACGGCGGCTTTGCAGACTTCCGCGGGCGCAATGGCCAGCTCTATAACTTCTTCTCCGCGCCAGGCCTATCTGTCAACGTCAAGACGGAAGACGCCAGGTTTGTGCTCAATAATGGCCGACTGACGGTCGACGGCTCATTCATCACCGAGGTGCATGTAGTGGCGCGTGTGGGTCCACGCGAGACGGTGAAACTAGCAAAGGCGAGCTTTTGGGCCAGTCAGCTGATGGAGGAAAACTGGGGGTGGAAGGTGATCAACGGCAGCTGCGGCGTCGTCGACGACCGCGACCGAGGCCGTGCCTTCACCTTTGGCGCGCGTGGCTCCAAGAGATGCTACGAGCTCTCGATGGCTATGGACGTGGCGAGCGCGACATTTGCCATTGGCAACTGGACCGTCACCGTCCGCGGTAACCATGTTTACGGCTGGCTCTCTGGTCCGAGACACCGGGTTGACGTCGGGTTCAGCGCAAAGGGCGACGGGCCCGTCCGCTCAGTCCCGCACGGCATCGTGGGGCAGAGCTTCTCTTCCTTGGCGCCTCGCCACGGCAGGACAGACGAGTATCCGGATCAGGGCACGTTTCGAACAAGCGCCATGGCGGAGGGCGCCATCGAGGGCGAGGCGAGCATGTACGAGATGGCAACTCCGCACGCCACAAGCTTCGCCTTCTCGCGCTTCGATGACGCCCTCGAGAGCTCCGCTCCTTTGCTCAAACTCGGAGCTGCGGAGGCATCAGCGACCGATCGCACGGCCCGGTTCCCCTCGGCCACCACCGGTCGCTGGCTTTCTGAGGCTCATGCGCCTTGCCCGCCGCCAGTCGCCGCCTCTGGTTTGCAAATTGATGCTAAGCCCGCGCCGCCGCTTCCAAAGCCGGCACCGCCTCCATCGTCGCCGTGGTAAGGGTGGACGCGCCTACTACCTGCAGTTCCCTCGTCACCTCTCCGGCTGCTCTCTGGCAAGCTGCTCTCTCTTTTTTTCCCAAAAGGAGGGCTACACGACGCCATGCGTTTTGAGTGCGATGCGCCAGTAGGCGGGCATCGTCTCGGGGAGATTGAGAAAATCGCACGAGGAGTGGAAGAGTCGTCGCCCCATGCGGAGGTGCCCGTATGCTCGATTGACGTAACACCACTATATTCACGCCTTTGTGTGACGACGGCGTGACCAGGCGGCTCACCTGGCGCTGGTATAGTATGAAATGAACTCGGGGGCACGGGACGCGGCACAAAAGCTGCGTGTGAATATCTCGGCTCCAGCGGTGTACCTGTGTTAGTGCCAGTGCGCGCCAGTCCCGTGCCCAGTGTTGTGCGACGGAGTTATGCACGCGCTCGCTCTCGTCAGCCTGCCAGGCATCCTGAGTACACACACGAAGCCGCTGCCCGGCGTGGCGCGACCAACCGTGGACGCAGCGCACACGCCGATCAGCCTTGCCGATAGCGTCGACCGCCGCACAGCGATCGGAATCGGCGCCGTGACGGCGGGCGCAGCGGCTGCGCCCGCCTCGGCAGCGGACGGCAATACCCTCACTCTCTCCGTGGCGTGCAGCACTAAGTCGAGCTGTGCAGCACGGGAGCATCCTGTTGAAACCGAACCCGATGCTACAGGCGCTCTCGGACAGCGACGTGAAGAGTGTGGTCATCGAGCTGAAGCCGGAGTGGGCGCCGATCGGCGTGGAGCGGTTCAAGTCCCTCGTGCGGGAGGGCTTTTATGACGACGCGCGCTTCTTCCGCGTCGTTCCCGGCTTCATCTGCCAGTTTGGGCTTCGCCGGAGACCCGGCGCCGCTTCGTAGACACTTCCGAGAAACCTCCTAGACACACGGCCTCAGCTCGAAACGCGCTGGTCAGGCGCTGAACGCAAAGTACCGCAACGCGCGCATTGCAGACGACCCGGTCAAGGAGGTCAACTCTCGCGGCGCCGCTCGCTGATGCCGACACCGCCCGTCGGCCCACGAGATGATGTCGAGATGATGTCGAGGTGGTCAGGCACGCTCGTCTTTGCGACCTCCGGCCCGAACACGCGCACCAGCCAGATGTTCATCAACTACAAGGTCGACCTCCTCCTCGACCAAGCACCGGCGGAGCGCGGCGTCTGTTCACACGTCTGCGCTGTGAACAGGACAACCTCTTCCTCGACAAGCAAGGCTGTCCCGCGCCCCTCGGACAGGCAGGGCTTCGACCTGCTCTTATTCTCTGATGTTATCATTAGGCTTCGCGCCCATCGGGGAGGTGGTGCAGGGCTTCGACGTGGCGCAGGCGGTCTACTCTGGGTACGGCGAGGCGCCCTCCCAGCCGCGCATCCAAAAGGAGGGGAACGCCTACCTGAAGGAGGCCTTCCCGAAGCTGTCTTACATCAAGGCGGCGTCGCTCTCGTGATTACGTGTGAGCGCGCGCCTGCCCGCGCTGGGCCGCTGCGCCCCTCTCCAGCGTGCCGCGCGCTCAAGCCGTGTGCTACATGAGGTCACGTGTCTCGCCGGCGTGAGTCGCCTTTACGTAAGTTGGTAAGGTAAGGTAAATTTCTCCACACACACAAAGTGGTGCAGCCTGGTGGGGCAACGGGCAGGCGAAGGGGGCAGGGGGGGCGACCCTCGCATCTCCACACCCGGACACGGGCAGGAGCCCCACGGCATTCACGTATTTTCTCACTGTACTCTCACGCCAAGGAACCGGGCTTTATCTCTCTACCTCTTCCCCTTACGGCTCTATGAGCTCTTACGTCTTAGGCGTCTCGCTGCCACGGCCCGCACACACTGACACATCAATCAGGAACACGCAACACCTCAACACAGCTCAACAGCTAGAGCTACCTCTGCCGCTGGCGCGGTCCGAATGGGTAGAGCTTGGCGAGAACCGCGTTCCATATGGCGTATGGGAGGAAGGAGGAGATCGTGGTCAGCACGCCTCTCGCCCTCGTCAGTGGCGTGTCCTTGAGGCCTCGCACCTGGCGGTACCGCTTGCAAAAGGCCAGGAACGGCGCGTGCACCGCCGTAAACTCCGGAACGCCCTGGAAGACGTCGTACAGGTGCGCGAGGTGCGGGTACTCCTTCCATAGGCTCGTCGAGGAGGGGATGATCTCGGTTGTCCCCTCGAAGCACTCGAAGGCCATGCACACCTCCTGCAGCGTGGTTAGGTCGCCCAGGTTCAGATCTGCCACGCCGCCGATCGACCGCTTGCTGATTATCCTCTCTGCGTCGTCGAGATGCTCCCGCAGCTTCGACGCCAAGAGTGACTCCCTCCCTCCTGGCGGATCGAGCAACGATCCGACCAGGACCGGCACAATCCCGTAGTTCTCGCGCCACGGCATGCCAGGCGTCGCGGCGAGGCGGAGCGCCACCTGCGACTCTATGCAGAGATGCAGCGGCTTGGACCAGTCCATCCACTCGTCCACCGCCCGCCGCCTGGCAGGATCTCGAGGGTACCAGTGGTCGTTTGCCGGATCCGTGTTATACTTTTCAAAGATGTGGCGAGCCAGATCTCGAGACTCAGCCATGAACTGTCCGCCCTCCACGCACGCCGGGACCTGATGCGCGGGATTGACGCGCAGAAACCACCACTGCAGCTGCTGCCCCAGCGAGAGGTCAATCTCGTGAAATGTGGCCGGCGCCTTGGACAGCAGCGTTGTGACGTGCACCAAGCGAGCGGGCGGCGAGAAGAACCACTTGAAGACCGTGAGCCCTTCGCCTTCCACGCACGCCGGTACCGCCAGGCTCTTCCAGCCCTTCCAGAGAATGTAGCCGGCCGCAGCGGCACCGACAGTCAGCCTGCCGTCCACCGTGGGCATCGGACGGCTCTCAATGGCCGTCGTGGGTTGCCAGTGAAGGGGCCGGGGAAAGAAGAAAAACACGGAGGTGTGGATTCACACCGGCCAAGAGCGGGAGCGCCAGAGAGAAGACAAAAGGCAACATGTAGCAAAGCTCTCTCTAACGCCGCGGTCAAAAGAGACCGACGGACCTTGAATTTCGGCGGCGCCGAAATTCACACAAGACTGTGAACACACCCACAGGACGCCGAGTTGGAGTGCTGGGGGGGGCGACAGGGGGGACGTGGCCTGAGTGATGTGTACGCCCACTCAGGATGTGTGGCAGCCCGCTGGCTGTGTGTCTTGTGAGCTTGTTTGTGTCTGTGTGTCGCTCGTGCGTGTCGTCATCATCTGTCTTGCGTCCACCCATACCGCGTTGGTGTCCAGTCCGAGCCTGACTGTTCTTCACCTTACTACATACATATTGCCGAGTACAAGACAATACGAAGGGAGTGTACTCAGGCAGTCAGGGACGGATAAGTCAGAACATACTAAGAGCACCTAAAGGAGCAAGGCATAGCTGTGAAGTGGTTTTCCACTGACAGACCCTAGGACAGACCCCCTCGTGCCTTGGCCTGAAGGTGCCCATCCGATACTCGGGGAACAGCGACAGGTCATAGTGCAAACAAAGGAGAGATGCACTTGCTCGCATTATCAGTTGTATAGACGGGCTCTGTGGGCTCCTCGGAGGCGGAGCAAACCTCGGCATGTTACATGAAGCGCCCTTGCCAAAGGAACGCAACACTGGGAGTGAGGAGCACGCCCAGCCCTTGTCTCTTGGGAGGAGGCTGGGCCGCGCATGTAGTCAGAAGCAAGAACCCGGTCGGGCCCGTACGGTAAGTCATTCGTACAGGCCCTCGACCTGGGGCTAAGTGCTGCTGGGACTGAGCATGCGCGTGGGAGGCATAAACCTTGGCGCACCCTGGCCTCCAAAGTCGCGGGGTCTGCGTGGCAGGCAGAACCCGACCCTGAAGTACCAGAATCTAGCTTCTAGGGGCACGTTGCTTTCGGCAATGGCCCGCCATATTGGCGGTGCCACATACCTACGACCTCTGAAGCTTGCAGTGGTGCAGATGCCGATAGCAACGTTGAGGGAAGTTGTGGGGAGTTGACGGCACGTCGAAGTACTCGGTCACTAATAAATAAACAGCCAATGAACACACCAGTGAGGGAGGGCGAGACGATCGAGGGGTCCCGTACCATGCGGAACCGACCCTATCCAGTGCTCAAGTGCTCAATAAACAGCGCACGCACGAAAAAGGGTTCTTTCCTTTCTTCCTTCCTTCCCTCCTTCCTTCCTGGGGGTCCCCCCCCCCCCCCCCCTTCGCCTCCCTTGTACGCTTGGCCAAAGCGCGCCGGCGCCCCAGCGTAGAGGGCGTCGTGGGTTGGTAATTATAAAAGAGCATCGGATTCGGTGCATGCAGCGGAATTAAGGATAGATAGACCAGGCACGAGGAAATACGCGTACTCACCGGCCGTCCAGGAGGGGCGCCTCCTGCGATGTCGGAACCGATTCCGACCTGGGGCACCTCGCCGCCGCCGCCGGCACCCCGGCCGCCGGCACCCCGGCCGCCGCCGCCGTCGCCGCCGCCGCCGCCGCCGTATCCGCCCGGCGAAGCGCCGTTGCCACCTCCGGCCCATCCGCCCTACCCGCCAAACAAGGCCCCAACGCCGCCGCCACCTCCATTTTGCGAAATCAACGATTGTGCCACCATAACGGCACTCGTCGTTGGAGTTCCACTAGCAGTCTGCCTCCTCCTCATCCTTTGCATCGTTGCAGCTATCCTCATCATCAAACATAGACGCAAACGTGGACTGGCGGACTGTCCCTGTGCCGGACTGTACATCAAGAGGGGTGGGGGGATGAAGACCACGGAGGTGACCGCCGAGGAGGACGGCTGGGTGCCTGGGGGCGAGACCGCCGCAGGGCAGCCCTGCTGGCGCAACGTAGTCACTGGCGATGAAACGACCGAACAGCCCGCTGTTGTCCAGAGCTGGGTGTACGTTGGCGAACTGCCCACAGGACAGAAATACTGGCGCAACACGGTCAGCGGCGAAAAGACTACCAACGAGCCCACGATTGGGCTTCAAGCGCCCGATGCCGTCGCGGCGGTGGCCGTGGTGGGTAACGAGGAGGGCAACTAGCGGCGCTCTGGGGGGATGGAAACAAACCTCCGCTTCGCGCACATCAATCGGCAAGTGTCGTGTGCCGACGCCTTTCAGACAAGCCACCAGCAGGGACATCCCCCGCTACCACCCGTCGGACTGGCGTGGATGATGGGGGTCCGCCGCGTCTTCGCCTAGATGCCCGAGCCGCTGTCGCGCTCTCGGCCGCGAGCCGCTCTGCGCCGGCCGCGCTCTCGCGATGCAAGGCTCTTGCGCGGGCTGCTGTCGTCCTGTGCGGCGTGCTAGTCCTTCCCCGCGGCGTGAGAGCCCCCCCCCCCCCCCCCTCTCAGTTGTGTGACTGGTCTGTTCTTATCTTTCACCCCCATTTCGACCATAGCGCCGGCGTGAGGCCAAACGAGACTCAGACTGCTGACGCCTCCTGGCGCGTGCAGCAGCAAAAGCGTGACCGTGCCTCGCATCACTCTTGCGCCGCCTGCTCGAGGAGCGTGCTGAGCACCAGCTGGTGGTGCACCAGAGGCACAGCGCGTAACACCCCGCCCCGCTCGCAGCCTCGCAGGGCGTGCATCACACACGGACTGTGTGAATCATCGGGATTTCTGGGACTCTTGACCTATTTTTTGTATGCTAATAAAATAAATAAAGCAGTCATCTCCAGGGAGAGATGGGCGACGCACGCGATAGGTTTGGTTTTCTTTTTTCCGTTTGGAAAGGAGGTTCGCAGCACCCTGAGGGAGGCGGCGAACCAGCTGAGCAACAAACTTTCGCATGCTCAGCACCTGGACGAGGTCGGCGAGGAAGTCGCCCTCCTCGCAGGGCAAGGAAAGGCAAGGTCACCTCCTCCACACTCACACGAGGTGGTGGGGCAAGGGCCAGGGCAGCCCTCGCGACTCACGGCATTCAAAGGTGCAAGGCCCGGTGCGCTCTGGGAGAGAGGCGTGTGCGTGCGTGCGTGCGTGCGTGCGTGCGTGCGTGCGTGCGTGCGTGTGCGTGCGTGCGTGCGAACGCGCGCGCCTCGAGCCGCCGCCACAGCAGCACGGGCTCGGAGTCGAGGACCTATGGGACATGTCAGGGAAGTGTCGTGGACATGTCCAGGACGGGTCCAGGGCCGCCCACTCGTGCTCGAGGACCCGGTTCAGCCGGCCGGTGAGGATGCAATAGTGCTTGTCGAAGGGCGGCTTGTGGTGCGCGATGTGCTCCGGCACCTACGGGACATGTCTCGGGCATGCCGTCGACGTGTCTCCTGGACAGCTTTGCGTGAGGTGCGCGCGGACCGGAAGCGCGACTCCAGCGCGCTGCAGCCGCCGCTTCCACTCGGGAAGCTGCGAGGGGGGCGTGTGGGACCTACTTCGCAGCGTGAGCGCGTGGCGCGCTCTCCCCCTCGACCTGGGCGGCTTCGAGCGTGCCGCAGCACGCCAGCGGTGGAACTCTTGTGCGACCAGCTGCAGGTAGAACATGACGGCGGCGCAGGCCGCGCCGCTCGGCGGCAGCAGCGCGAGCCCGAGGCCGAGGAGCGGGAGAGTCGCGCCCGCGATCTTGTAGACATTGTTGAACACGGAGCGGTGCGAGATGGTCCAAGGGGCGAGGTGGTGGCCCTGGAACGCGGCGCACGCGAAGCCGACGACGGGCGTCTCGAGGCGGCGGTAGTTATCGGTGGCCCAGTGGAACGCGCCGCTGAAGAGCTCGCCGAGCAGCGCGCCGGCCGCCACGCCGAGCAGCGGCGGCAGCGGGCTGCCGCTGCGCACAAAGGCGAGCGCCACGCCGATCGTCGCCACAGTGCTGGAGACGGTGACCGCGCCCATCGGAGGCGTCGTCTCGAGCGAATCGCCGGGCAGCGTGAGGACCGGCTCGAGGCGGCCGTCCGGCCCGCGCGTGGGGCGGAAGCTGCCGTCGAGAGCGAGCGCGGCCAGGTCCATGCTGTCGAGCGCCGAGTCGGTGCCCTCGAGAGCCGAGGCGACAGCCGACGGCGCGATCAGGGACGGAGCGCCCCGCGAGTCGATGGCGGCGGAGCCATAACGGAGGATGGGCGGACCTCGCACGATGGCCGCGGCGAGCGGGAGCGCGGCGCAGAGCATCGCCGTGGTTTTATTCGACGCCGGTGTGTTGTCGTCGCCGATGCTCGGGGCAGATCTTTTCTTCTTCGAGATTCTTCTTCGGGTAAGCGGCATTGTGCATGGTGCGGAATGCATTGCCGTTCTTAACGGAGTCGCTTAGGCGGCTCCGGTGGTGAGCCGGTGTGTGTGCCAGTCCGCGCCAGTCCGCGCCCTTGTCGTGCCAGTGTGCTGTGAGAGAGGCTTGTATTTTAAGAAGAATTTAAACAAAACAACTCTCTCTCACAGCACACATTTTAAGAATTCTTCTTCTCGCGCCGCATCTTTCTTCACGATCGAATGCGTCAGCGACCCCTTCGAGATCAAAGACGAGTTCGCCACCGGCGAGAAGCGCATCGCGGGCGACTTCATGTTCGACCCGGCCGGCCTCCCCCAAAGACCCAGGCCGACCTCGAGTCGATGCAGGCCAAGGAGATCAACAACGGCCGCCTTGCGATGATCGGCATCGCCGGCATGGTCGCTCAGGAGCTCATCTCGGGCGACAAGATCTTCTAAGCGTATGCCCATCATCTACGGCAGCATTGGATGGTCCTCGCACCTCGGCGATGATGCCACAACATAGAACCCCGGGACCCACGTACTCACGTAGCCGTGTATTACCACCGTATGGCACTCTCCCCGCCTCCATTCTCTCCCTTGGCGTGGGCGCCCCTCACCCCCCAGACCCGGAACCGCGCACTATAGCCAAGGTACCTCGGCGAATACACACCCCGCGGCCGCTGTTTTTTGAATTTGAGCGTTTTTGAATTTCAGCGTTTTAAGAAAAAAGTTTATCCGGTGGACGTGGTGGGGTGTCAGAGCCGGGCGAGGAAGGAGGTAGGTAGGTAGGTAGGTAGGTAGGTTTTGTTGTTGTAGGAAGGTGAAGAACAGTCAGGCTCGGACTGGACACCAACGCGAACAAAACGGTATGGGTAGGTAGGTGATAAGGTGAAGAAAGAACAGTCTGTCAGTCCCCACAATACATGGCATCACCGCACGCGGGGCATTTGTGGCACATACATTGTCGAGGTGCGTATGCACTGCCATCATCCAGCTTGTGGCACGTTGTCGAGGTGCGTATGCACCAGCATGTAATACACATATGCGCGATTCTCAATTCTCTACCTCAGTGTCAGTCCTCACAGCAGCCTGAGCCAGCACGAGCAGCCCGGGACAGGGACGGCGTGAGAGACCAGCCCGGAGTGAAGCTCGCACTTGAGGTGGCGCCCCTTGCGCAACAACTCGATGGCGACGCACGCCTGCCCCTTATCGAGGCACGAGGCGCGGCAGCCGGCCTCGTCGAGGCCCCACACTGCCCCTCAAACACGCCGAGCCCGCCGTCCGCGGCCCGGCAGCAGCCCGTCTCTCCCCCTCGCGCAGCAACCCACGCGGCGGCGGGGTGCGTCGAGAGGTCGCCGACCGTCGCGGGGCGAGGGGACGCGCGCGGCGTGGCTGTCTCGGGCGGGACCACTGGCAGGGCGCGGGGCGGAGCCTGGAGAGCGGCATCGAGGTCCGCCTGGCACGGCTGTGGGCAGCCCTGCGTGTCGAGGCAGCCGGCGCAGGTGCCGTCGCCGTGCTCGCAGCCGCAGCCCTCACAATCGCGGTCCGGACGGTTGGCGAGGTACCACTGGAAGAGCACGAGCGGCGAGTCACGGCCGAGCTCCACGCCGTCAGGGCCCCAATAGCCCACCTTGTGGTCGCAACGCGGGTTGCCGGCGCAGTGGTTGCGTGCCCAAGTGATGGCGCCCTCGCACCTGCCAAAGAGATCTCGGAACGCAGCGGCGCCGTACGAATGGCACCGATCTGGCTGCGCGTTCTGACCCGCCGGCCCAACGCACAGACAGTCGGCACGCGTGTTTGTGTCGTCTGATGTGTCACTGTGTGCGTCACATCGATGTGGATAACAAGCACGGTCGATCCGTCAAAGCGATACACTCGTTCCTATCACATATTCTCCCACCCGCCGGGACGCAAAACGCTCTCGGCGAGAGCCACAAGAATGCGTCCACACAGCAAGCCACTCGTCGGACAGGCGTGCTCGCTCGATGCCGGCGAGCGCATTGCGCACGCTTTGGACGGTGGCGAAGCCAAAAACACCGATGGTGGCCGTCCGCTGGCGTGAGCGGCGGCGGTCGAGACCTCACCCTTCGCGCCGACGACCCAACTTCACGCGGAACAACCCAACCCTCAACCAACCCAACCCAACACCAAACAACCCCACTGAAAGCACGATTCTCCTGTTGGGCCCTCGGCCTGCAAATGCAGCGTTTGTCGGTCGTTCTCCACACCGCTGTGGCGTGGCAGACGGTGAACGAGCTAGCGAGCGTGCGGGGAGAGCGGCATTGTGCATGGTGCGGAGTGCATTGCCGTTCTTAACGGAGTCGCTTAGGCGGCTCCGGTGGTGAGCCGGTGTGTGTGCCAGTCCGCGCCAGTCCGCGCCCTTGTCGTACCAGTGTGCTGTGAGAGAGCGATTGATGATTGATGGGAAGGCGAAACACAGTCCGACCAACGACTGGGGCGGGGACACCAACGCGGTATGGGTGGACGCTAGACGGGCGATGACGGTCACACAGGAGCGACACACAGAACCACAAGACAAGACACTCAGCCAAACTGACTGCCACACATCCTGAGCGAACTTCCCTAGTCACCCGCGGCCGGACTCCATCCGGCACGCGTCGCTGGGCGCTCAGAAAGAAAGAAAGAAAACAGACAACCCAAGGGAGGGATGGGAGGACGGCACGCCGCCACCACACAGGGATTTTAAGGAGAGGTGTGTGGTGCGCTAGCCGTCGCCCACCCTAGGGAGTCTGCCTCTTCCTATCTCTCTTCGCAGTCTCTCGCCGCTTCTCGCTGCAACCTTCATGCCACCTCGCGGTCGTCCCACTCTCGTCGTTCTCTCCCTTGTCATTTCCTCCTCTGTCGCGTCGTTCTCTTCTGCCTCGTCCTGTGACGCCGCCGCCTGCCGGTCCCTTGTTCTCGCGGCTTCTTTCGCCTTTCGGCGCAACTCCGTCCTCCTCGCGGCGTATCCTGGCCCCTCGAGTCTATCGAGCTCCCCTCGCGCAAGGACCACATTTCTGACTCCCACTCCGATCATTTGCCTACAGGTCATGTTGTTGCTCAGGTCCACTCTCTCTTCGAACACTCGTGCCTCTACGGATCATGCCGGCGCTGGGGTCCCCTTCGGATGCATCGTGACATCTGACAACTGGATTTCCACTGGTTTCGTCCTCCTCGGAGTCATCTTCCTGGGCGCTCAGAGCCGCGTCCCTAGTCGAAAATTTCTTTTTTTCGCCTTATGCCGAGACGTGGTGGCGCTGGTGGTAGCGGCGGTGGCGGTGGTGGCGGCGGTGGCGGCGGTAGTGGTCGCGACGGCGGCGGCGGCAGCGGTGGCAGCAGGCGCCGCGGCGGCAGCAGCAGGAGCAGGCCTCCGCGCGGCGAGCCGCTCTCGGTGCCGGGCGGCTCGGCCTCGGCGCGGCAGACGGGTCGGCGTGGCAGACCGGCCCGAGCCGCGCAGGCGCGGTATGCGATGCAGGACGACGGCGTCGTTTACGAGGGTCCGATGATCAAGTTCGTGCGCGGCCAGGGTGGAGAGGAGGAGGAGGAGGAGCCTGGCTCGGGAGATGAGAGCGAGCCAGAGAGCGAGCCGGAGGCGGAGACGGGGGCGGCGGAGGCGGCGGAGGCGGCGGCTGCGGCGGCGGCGGGCGAGGGCGAGTGCGAGGGCGACCATCTCGCTGCCGCCGTCGGCGCCGTCTCGCTGCAGGAGAGAGAGGACTCGGGCGCCGTCGAGAGCGGCGTCGGTGGCAGCGGCGGCGGCGGTGGCAGCGGCGGTGGCGAGGAGGGCGGCGGCGGCGGCGAGGAGGGCGGCGGCGGCGGCGAGGAGGGCGGCGGCGGCGGCGAGGAGGGCGGCGGCGGAGGCGGGCGTGTGGGGAGGGAGGCGCTGCTGCAGGTGCGGCGAGGCGGCGGCGGCGGCGCGGCTCTGGACAGGGCGAGCTCGAGGGGCTTCAGGATGCTGCTGCGGATGGGGTGGGTGGAGGGGCAGGGGCTGGGGCGGAGGAGCAGCGGCAGCGTGACCCCGGTCGCGGTGAGTGCGGTGCGGCTGCTGGAGGGTGTCGGGCTCGGGTGTGTGTGTCTGTGCCCGAGGAGACACTGACTGATGAAGGCTCACTCGCTGACGACTGCTGAGTCCCTCCTCAGGTGTGTGTCTGTGCCCGAGGAGAAGGTGCTGCGCCGCAACGTCGAGGAGCGGATTCAGGACTTCCTCGCCTCCTCCACGGAACAGGAGCCCGCCCTTCCAGCCAGACCTCGAGACTGCCCGAGATTGCCCGAGATCACCCGAGCTGTGAACAGGAGCTCGCCTTCCAGCCAGACCTCGAGACTGCCCGAGATTGCCCGAGATCACCCGAGCTGTGAACAGGAGCTCGCCTTCCAGCCAGACCTCGAGACCTCGAGATTGCCCGAGATCACCCGAGCTGTGAACAGGAGCTCGCCTTCCAGCCAGACCTCGCCAAGGCAGACCGCGCGCTCGTCCACACCGCCGCGCTGTGAACGGCGCCTCTTCACAGCCGCGCCAGCTGTGAACACAGGCAGACCGCGCGCTCGTCCACACCCTCGCGCAGAGGCACGGGCTGCGCCATCGCTCCACGGGCGAGATCACCCGAGATCACCCGAGATCACCCGAGATCGCCCGAGATTGACCGAGATTGCCCGAGATTGCCCTCGCGCAGAGGCACGGGCTGCGCCGCCGCTCCACGGGCGAGATTGCCCGAGATTGCCCGAGATTGCCCGAGATTGCCCGAGATCACCCGAGATTGCCCTCGCGCAGAGGCACGGGCTGCGCCACACCACGGGCGAGGGGTCACCACTACTGACTACTTCCCAATCACCCCACAGGCAAGGGGAGCGAGCGCTTCATCACAGTCTCCAAGCGGGAGGGCGGCGTGACAGAAGCTGTCCTCGAGGCGCAGTCCCCGCGCGCTCGCACCCCGCACTAATACGAGGCAGCCTCGCCGACACAAAGGGGCGGTGAAGAGCAGGCGCAGTTCTCGCGCGCGCATGCGATGGGCTACTCCCTACCCGCAGACAAGGGCGGCAAGCGAGGCGACGGACTCGGCCTCGGCGCGAGATTCCACCGAGATCGCCCCCGAGCTGACCCGAGATTCCCCCGAGATCAGGCATGGGACTCGGCTTCGGCGCGCGCAGCTACACCGCCGCGCCGCCGCCAGCCTCGCTCCTCCGGCTCTGCAGGACCGACCTGCCTATAATCTCGGGTCATCTCGGGTCCTCTCGGGTAATCCAGCCTCGCTCCTCCGGCTCTGCAGGACCGACCTGCCTATAATCTCGGGTCATCTCGGGTCCTCTCGGGTAATCCAGCCTCGCTCCTCCGGCTCTGCAGGACCGACCTGCCTCAAGATATGCCGCCGCAGCACGCAGCCCGCAGCTCTGCCGCCACGAAGAACAAGCCGCTCGCCGCCAAGCGCTTCCCGAAGCCACCGCCGCCGCCACAACTGCTCGCGCCGCCGCCGCCGCCGCCGCCGCCGCCGCCGCTGCCGCAGCAGCAGCAGCAGCAGCAGCAGCAGCAGCAGCAGCAGCAGGGGCAGGGGCAGCGGCGGCAGCAGGCTCCGCGCCAGCGTTCGATGTGGGCGAGCGGCGTGGTTGGCGTCTCATCGCTGTACTCGTCGGCTTCGTTAATTGCATTAATGTCTAATCATTGTCAATGTGTTAATGAAGGTCGGCTTCTCGTCGCAGTACTCCTCGGCTTCGTTAATTGCATTACTGTCTAATCATTGTTAATGAAGGTCGGCTTCTCGTCGCAGTACTCGCGGGCGGAGCACTCTGCGGCGCAGCTGCTCGGCAAGCCGCGCGTCTTCCCTGCGGCGGGCGTCAGCCGGGCGGGCGTGGTCAACTCGAGGACCTTTCTAGGAGCCTTCTCGGAGCCTTCTAGGCGGGCCTTGACGGGCGGGCGTGGTCCGAGATGACCCGAGATGACCCGAGATTGCCCGAGAGGATAGGCGGGATCGGACGGGCGGGCGTGGTCGCCGGTACCGCGGCAAGGGGAGGGGAGGGAGTGGGTGCTCCGGCCTTCGCGGCGCCGGCGATGCGCTAACGCGTGTGTGAGTTGATGAGCCTTTCATCATTAGGTGCGGCTGCGGTTCGCGGAGCCGGTGGAGGCAAGGGCGGTGACTGTCCACCAGAGCCACGACCCGAGATTAGCCGAGATTAGCCGAGATTGCCCGAGATTGTAGGCGAGGGCGGTGACTGTCTACCAGAGCCACAACCCTGGATCGCTGGTGGAGGTGAGGGCGTCGCCGGCGGGCGCCGAGGCGTGGCGCACTATCTGGCGGGGCGAGAGGTACTGCCACGCCCCCCCCCCTCTCCCTCCCTCCCCCCTCCCTCCCTCCCTCCTCGCTCGGCTCTGTCTCGGGTTCACTTCGGCCCCGATCTCGGCTGTACCTCGGCTCAATTACTTAACTGCTTAATTACTTGCTGTACCTCGGCTGCAGGTACAATCACGTGCCCAGCAGGCCGCCGAGCGACGCGCTGACGCTCGACGTCGGCGGAGCCGCGGGAGATGCAATCTCGTCGGGAGATGCAATCTCGTCGGGAGATGCAATCTCGGCGCCCGTCCAGCTGCTCGAGCTGCAGCTCGACACGACGGGATGGTCCGACGCCTTCTGGAGCGAGATAGCCGAGAGGCAGCCGAGAGGCAGCCGAGAGGCAGCTGAGAGACAGCCGAGAGACAGCCGAGAGACAGCCGAGGTGCAGCCGAGGTGCAGCCGAGAGGCAGCCGAGAGGCAGCCGAGAGGCAGCTGAGAGGCAGCTGAGAGGCAGCTGAGAGACAGCCGAGAGACAGCCGAGGTGCAGCCGAGGTGCAGCCGAGAGGCAGCCGAGAGGCAGCCGAGAGGCAGCTGAGAGGCAGCTGAGAGGCAGCTGAGAGACAGCCGAGAGACAGCCGAGGTGCAGCCGAGGTGCAGCCGAGGTGCAGCCGAGAGGGCGAGGCGGCCGTGCAGCAGCCCACGCCGCCAGCGGTGAGCAAGAGCGAGATGAATGGGGAGTCATGAGAGGTCAAGCCTCGGCCCTGTGGAACCCTCGCGGCACAGTCGAGATTACCCGAGATTACCCGAGATTACCCGAGATTGCCCGAGGTTAGGAGCGAGATCGACGCGGTGCAGCTCACGGGCGTGCCGCTGCGAGGGCCGCTGCAAGGGCCGCTGCAACGGCCGCTGCACGGAGTCGGCGCCTCCTCCCTCCCTCCCGCCGCCCTCCACTCCACCGCCGCCGCCGCCGCCCCCGCCGCCGCGCCGCGTTCCCCGCCGCCTCCGCCCCCGCGGCCCTACCTCACACGCCAGCCCTCCGAGACGGCGCGGGCCTTTGCGGAGCGAGCCGCCTACTTGCGCGAGCGGTTCGGACCACCGCCCGCCGACGAGCTGGCCGCGATGCGGCAGGCGGCACTGTCGATGGTGTGGCAGAACAGCCGGCAGCTCGGATGCCGCTACCCTGCAGGGGCGGAGGAGCGCGCCGGCTGCGGCGCGGGGCGGCCGCTCGCGACGGGCGCCGCCATCGAGGGCGAGATGCGCGCGCGAGGCGCAAGGTGACAAGGTGACTGCGTGACTCCGGGATACAGCTGAGTGTCTGCAAGAGATGTTTGTCGGATAAGTTTAGTAGTGTTTGACACTAACTTCCAATCAGCTGAGGATTCGGGTGCTGGCCTTTACAATAGAGCACTGTGGCGACGCGCCGACGGACCTCGGTCGTCGAGACGCATCCATGCGCGCCGCCAGGAGCGAGGAGGGAGGCCAAAAACGGCCAACGCGAACGACCCGCACATGCAACGCGCGTCTCGAGGGTTACGTATTCAATAATCAACAGTGCTAGCTGCTCTCCACAGTGGTCCCATCGCACTGACGCTCTCTGCCGGCGCAAACACTCCCGAACAAAGAAGAGGCGACGGAAGGAACCGGCAGAGGATGCAGTGACATGACACCCCCCCCCCTCACTGACACACACACACACACACACACACACACACACACACACACACACACACACACACACACACACACACACACACACACACACACACACACACACACACACACACACACACACACACACACACACACCGCTCACCCACGCGCACTGGGCCTTGCACTTTTAATGCCGTGGGGCTCCTGTCGTTAGACGTGGAGACGCGAGGGTCGCCCCCCCTTGCCCCACCACCTCGTGTGTGTGGAGAAGTTTACCTTACCTTACCTTTAACACTCCCGAATACGTACAACACTGCACAAAATCAGCACTGCCCTCCACTCTCCTAGCACTACCCTCCGCTCCACGCGTCAGCTCGATCCTGCTCCGATGATAGCTCGCGGCCTAAATGTGCGGCGAGCCAAGCAAATGCCAGCGATGCTCCACAGGCTCATGAGCGTCAACGCGGATGCACGCCGGGCTTGATCCGGCACGTTGACGAGCCCCCCAGAGGGCCGGCTTCCAGGAAGGCGTCCGGCCATTCGCATGCAAGCATAAGAAGAACGAGAGGCCAGAAGGCGAGAACAGAGCATTCAGTGACGCCGCGCGCGGCCGACGAGGCAATCGCCACGCTAGCTCGGCGCACAAAGCTTTGGAGGTCTAAACCCTAACTCTGTTGACCTGCTCGTATAAAACCACGTGACACTAACTGCTCATTAGGGGGCGTGCACGTGGTATATGGCCACTTCCAACGCAAGCGCTCTGCCGCGGGAGGCGCGATACTGCAACGAGAAAACACGAAACGCCGTGAGGACCTCTCGCCACAGGCGTGAGGACCTCTCTCGCAGTGGTGAGGTGAGGAACAATGATGGCTTATTTGAACGAAGCGCTGCCTCTGCGTGCCGCGGGAACGTCGGGGGAAGGGCGTGCCGGCCCGGCCATCGCGACGCGCCGGCGTAGGCAAGGGGGCGCGCAACACGGATATAGGATCCCAGTGCGCCATGACGCATGAGGAGTTGAGGACCTCTTGGCGTGTGAGGACCTCTCTTGGCGTGTGAGGACCTCTTGGCTGGTGTGAGTTTCGGCGGCTCCTGTGCTTCAGTTGGCGGGTCGTGCCTCTCGTGCGCTCGACACGATCCGTGGCGGAGACGGAGTCGTCCCTAACGTACCTACAACCTAGCCGGATTGGGACGCGATCGACATCGACACCACGGTCCACGCTAAGTATGTATGACTCATGGTAATTGAGTCATGATGGTGTACTTGTATGTGCGCATCCTGTCGTCGTCATGCTCGCAGGGTCACCTTGATGTGCTCCGTGAGAACGTCTTGTCGCACCAACCTTCATGTCGCGGTCGTCCCACGTCTCGTCGTTCTCTCTCCTGCCCCTCCTCCTCTGTCTCGTTCTGCGACGACGCCGACGCCTGCCGAGCCTTTGCTTTGCGGCTTCTTTCCTTTCACTGTGAAATTCTTTCGTTTCAACTCTTTTTTGCGTGTGCACAAATTTTTCTTTTTTTTGCTTGCAAAATGGCTTGTTTCTCGCCGCTGCTCTACGCCGCCGCGGCCTTCCGCGTGCCGCACGCCGCCGTCGCCGCGGCGGTCGCGCGTGCTCCGCCCGCGCAGCTGCTCTCGCCGGCGCTGGTGGACGAGAGGCTCGCCGCGGTCCTCCTCGCCGGCGGCTCTGGCAGCCGGATGAAGGCGGACCGGCCAAAGCAGTTCCTCGAGCTGCTGGGCAAGCCGGTGCTGCAGTGGGACCTGGAGCTGCTGCTCTCGATGGAGCGGCTCGAGCGGATCGTCCTCGTCATCGCCGATGAGTACCGCGACCTGCCCTTCCTCCAGCCCTTCCTCTCTGACCCGCGGCTCGCGCTCGCTCTGCCGGGCGCCGAGAGGCAGAACTCGGTGGAGAACGGGCTGGCGGCCGTGGGGGATGCGTGCACGCTGGTCGCGATCCACGACGCCGCGCGGCCGCTCGTCACCATCGACGCCATCGAGCGCTGCTTCGCCGACGCGGCGCAGCACGGCGCAGCGGTGCTGGCGGTGCCCTGCAAGCCGACGATCAAGGAGCGTGCATTTTGGCGAGCTTGTGAGCCGGAACCTCTTGAGCAACGGACGAGCTCCTCCTGCGTTAGTGGTAGGAGTCTGCGGACGGCGAGTTTGTGAGCCGCACTCTCGACCGCTCAAAGCTGTGGGACGTGCAGACGCCGCAGATCCTGCGGCCGCAGATGCTGCGCGACGGCTTCGCGAACGCAAACGCGAATCAGCTGGCCGTGACCGACGACGTGTCGGTGCAAGACACAGCCGAGACACAGCCGAGACACAGCCGAGACACAGCCGAGAGACATCCGAGATACATTCGAGATACATTCGAGTAACACGATCCTTTGTTGTCTCATCCTGAGCAGGTGGTCGAGCTGATGGGAGAGCCAGTCAAGCTGACGGTGGGCGAGTACACCAACCTCAAGCTCACCACGCCGGAGGATATGATCATCGCAGAGACCATCCTACGCGACCGCGGCGAGACGCACTGAGCGGCTCTCTGCGCCGCTCTCGCGTCTCGGACGTCCGTCTCGCTCGCGGTCTAAGGTAAAGGTAAACTTCACTCCAGTTCTCGGTCCCCGCCTCGTGTCCGGCCGGCGACCACTCCGGGGTCTCCGCCCACTCGCGCGCCGGCCGGGTATGCATCCTTTTGTTCAAAAGTTTTTAAATGTCGGAGGGGACAGGGCGGACCGCAGGGCGGACATAGGGGGGGAGCGGAGGGGACGCGGGGATGCGAGCCGGAGCGCGAAATATATCGCGGACGCCACGCCGCGGTTGCGCCCCGCCCGACCCTTACTCTAGCGCCAGAGCCCTTACGCCTAGCCTCTGGACCCTCCTCGACGCATGCCCAGAGACCAGAGACCCGAGACCCGAGGGGAGGAGAGGGACGGCGGGAGGGAGGGCGGGAGAGGGCCTCCGCAGCGCGCCTCAGCAGAAGCCTTTCAACTTGTCGCTCTCGAGCGCCGCGTCCGCCTCGAACTTGACGTCCACGTCGGCATCTGCAAGCATCTCCTGCAGCTTGGGCACGATACTCTCGCGCGCCATGCCAGGGTCCACCAGCGGCGTGCAGGCGGCGAGCGCCCGCGCGGCGATCATCCGCAAGTTAGGCACGCGGTCCGACGCCATCTCGAGCACGGCGGGCACCTAATAATGAGTAATTAATTGATGAATAATTAATGCCGCGGCCCGACGCCATCTCGAGCACGGCGGGCACCAGTTTCGTCTCGAGACTGCCGGGCGTGAGGATCTGCGCGAAGCCGGCGGTGAAGGAGGGGACGACGGCGCGGAGCAAGTACGACTGCTCGCCCGACAGCGCCGTCACGATGGGCAGCAGCGTCTCCTCGGCCCACGCCTGCCCAAAGCCGCCCAAGCCGCAGATCTCCGCCATCAGCACCACCCAGTCCTCCCGCACCAGCGCGCACGAGTCGGAGGCGCGCCTGGCGCAAACCTCTCCAAAGTGGGACCAAAACTCCGCCGGGCCCAGCGTCGCCGCGAGCTGCGGCAGCAAGTGCAGGATCACGTGCCGCACGCGCCAATTCTTGTCCGCCCCGAGCCGCTCCAGCAGCGGCAGCATCGCCGCCGCCTCGCCGTCCAGGCCGACCACGTCGATGAACGGCCCGAGCTGCATGATGACTGCGAGCCGCACGTTGGAGAGCTCGTCGTCCGCCAGCAGCGCGAGGCACGGCAGCACGTGCTCCAGCGCCGCCGCCTTGCCGAGCGGCGCGGCGAGCTCGATGCAGACCGTGGACAGCTCGACGCGCGACACTGAGTTGGTGTCGTTGGCGAGGCGCGAGACGGTGGGGAAGATGTGCTTCTCGCCGAAGGCGGTGCCCAGCGCGGCCGCAGCCTCGGCGCCGCGGAGCGCCGCCGCGACCCGCACCTCCGACTCGTGGTCGGACTGCAGCGCGGTGTACATTGCCTCGAGGGGGCCTAGACACTTCCTAGACACTTCCCAGACACTTCCTAGACAGCGCCGTGTACATTGCCTCGAGGGGGCCTCGCAGCTCGTCCGACAGGGGCGAGCCCGCGTCCTTGCACGCCTCCGCGACCGCGGGCAGCGACTCGGCGGCGGCGATGCGGACGCGCCACGACTTGTCGCGCGTGCACGAGGTGAAGCACTCCTTGAGAAGGAGCGCGCGCGTGGCGAGCTCCGCGTTCTTGCAGAGCAGCGCCGTCTGCTTGAGCGCGTTGACGCGCACGGACTCGCCCTCGTCGACGACCATCCCGCGGTAGATTGGGGCCAGCTCCTCCTCCACCAGCTTGGTGCCTATCGGAAGCTTCCGAGAAGGCTCAGGGTACGCTCCTAGAAGGCCCAGCTCCTTCTCCACCAGCTTTGTGTGCCGTAGGAGTCCGCCACGGCGCCCAGCCGCGCCGCCGCCGCCCGCCGCACCATCGGGGAGTCGTCGCCGGCCAGCGCCTTGAACTCCTCCCTCAGCTCCGCGCCTAATTCATCACTCAACTCCTGACGGACTCAGCTGATGAAGGGCCTCGAGCTCCTCCCTCAGCTCCGCGCCGACGGCGGGCGCGTCCTCGCACGCCGAGTAGGCGAGCGCGACGAGGCCGGAGGCGGAGACGCGTGGTGTGAACCAGTCCTTGTTGCGGGCGAGGCGCAGCACGAGCGGCGCGAGGTGCGTCTGCAGCTGCGAGGCGGACAGCTGCGCGCCCACCTGGTTGATGGACGCCACCGCCTGCGGAAGGGGGAAAGGGACCACCGCCGATTAGGGGAGGGCCTGAGGGCGCGGCCCCAGGCCGAAAAATCCCGGTGCGGTGCGGTGCGGTCCGGTCCGGAAAGGTTCCCCCGGGAGTGGACCCCGGGGGCTTGGCACACCCTCTCCCGCGGGGGGGAAGTTTCCCTCCTTCCTTTGGACCCCCCCCCCCCCCCCCCCACACCACCACACACACAACACACACACCACCTTGTCCCCTCGCCCCTGCCTCCTCCCCTCTCGCTTCCTCCCCGCCCCCTCCCCCTCTCCTCTCCCCTCCTCCTCCGGCGCCTGGTCCCGCACGGTCGACTCCTCGACGGCGCAGAGCGCCTCGAGCGGCGGGAAGAGGCAGTGCGCCTATGCGAGGAGGGTCAAAGGTTCGAGCAGAAGACGGCTCTCTCTCTCGGTTCCGCTGCCTCTGGCCAGGAGGGCGGCGGACACCTCGCTCGAGGGCCCGACGAACTCGGAGAAGGAGCCGAGGACCTCGGCCACGCTCACCTGCACCTCGTCCGTGAACTTGCCCGCCTCGATCTCCCCCTTGAGGAAGGGGATTAGGTCGGACCGCGTCTTCTCTGCGCCGAGCGCGAGGCCGATGACGCGCAGCCGCGAGATGCACTGGATGCACTGCGGTGCGGGAAGAAGGCGGCGTCAGGGCGGCGCGGCGCTGGCGAGCCGGGCGGAGCGGCGGGAGGCGGACAGCACTGCGGTTCAGACAAAGGGTGCAGGAAAACAGAGCCGCATCGCCGCGGCCCGCAGCGGGCGCCAGAGCGCGCGCGCGCGGACCTGCTGCGGGTTGTCTGAGGTGAGCTCCTCCATCAGGAACTCCAGCGGCGAGGTCATGACTGCTGGTCTAGAACGTGAGACGGCGCGCACGGTGCAGCGGCGGTGAGGCGCGCTGCCGACTGATCCGAGCGGCGAAAAAAGAAATCGACGGATAACCGGGGCGCAGAGAGGAAGTGACAAGGGAGAGAACGACGAGAGTGGGACAGCCGCGAGGTGGCGTGAAGGTTGCAGCGAGAAGCGGCGAGAGACTGCGAAAAGAGATACGAGGAGGCAGACCCCCCAGGGTGGGCGACGGCTAGCGCATCACACCCTCCTCTCCTTAAAATCCCTGTGTGGTGGCGGCGTGCCGTTCTCCCATCCCTCCCTTGGGTTGTGTGTTTTCTTTCTTTTCTTTCTTTTAGGTCGGGACTCGCTTTGGAGTGGCGAAAAACAAAACTGCTTCGGCAGAGGGGGTGCCAGCCGCGGAGTACACGTCCGGACTCGCTTGGCGCGCCAGCCAACGGACGGCGGTGACAACAAGCAGCTAACAAGCAAAAGGAGCGAAAAGCCGCGTCCCGTGCCCCCGAGTTCATTTTATTAAAATCTCCATTTTATAAAGGAGCGAAAAGTGCTGGTGTATAAAAAAATGATCCATGAGGTCCTCTCTGCAAAATATTCCACTCGCACTAATAAATTGATCTCTTCAACTGCTCTATAATCGATGTGTTTTGCTTCAAACTCCAAACCGTGCATCCCTAAATTTCTCCCTCTCGGACCTGCACGTGGAACGAGATTTGTGATGAACCGACATTCTAGAGCTGCCTCTTTCGAGGGGCTGGCATGCGCAAATTGAGCATGCGCGGCGCCTTTGCTTCAGAGCTGTGTGACCCGTGAGCCGTGTGAGGACCTCGCTGTGTGAGGACCTCGCTTTGAGGACTCAAACGTGTGAGGACCTCCGAGTTCCGAGAGCTCTGGTCGGCATCGGTCCTTCAGAGGAGCTGTCCCAAGTTGTGCCGCCGTTCACACACACAAACTCACCCCGCAACCGCCCGCCGTTCACAAAAGGCTGGTGACACTGGCCCGAGGGACCTTAATGGCGGCCAGGTGCAGGGTGAGTTCTCACAACTTGGGACAGCTTCTCTGAAGGATCCTTCGATGCTGTCTGACCCCCCCCCCCCCCACCACCACCACCACCACCTCGTTTGCACGGCTTTCTGAGAGGTCCTCACGGCGGTGATAGAGAAAGGTCCCGGGTGGTCCCCTCAGATTAAGGATCCGTATAAATGTTGATTCTCGCCCCTCTAAGTATTGATATTGAGTATTGTCAGCCTCATCTCTAAGTATTGACAATATATTGACATATTGATCGCTGATTTTAACCTCCAAGAGCACCAAATGTCGACATTTGTCCCAAACATCGCCTAGATGTGGGCTGAATATCGAAAAAATCACGAGTTCAAAGCGATTTTTATGCGATTTATATGTTGAGTCCAACCTGACGGTCCTGACCAGCCCAGGCTCTCCTCTAAGTATTGCAATATACATTATGATGTAACATACTTCCGGGCCGGTGTGCGGGGAGCGAACCTTAACGACCGCCCAGAAGCTTTCTGAGCGAACCAATCGGGCCAGGATCATCAGCATATGTCCCCTCCACAGCATCGTGGGCGTTTGAGCGGTATTTGAGGACCACCGCCACTCTGAAGTTCGGCCGGGTGGTCTGCAGACCCCCCCCCCCGGAGCAGCAGAGGCTCCGTGGGGTCGAAAAGTCGACGCTGGGAGTCGCACTCGTCAAACCGTCGCAACACCACGCGGTACGCACGTACCGCCCACATCCCCTCCACCGCTGAGAAGGCGCAGATCGACCGCCGGGCCGCGTAGCCGTCGTTAAGGAGCCGTTTTTGGAGCCGTACGAAGAGGTCCCAGACGGGCGAAGATGCGGTTTTTCGACAACCACACGCGATGTGGTATCTGGTTTTTGCTAAAAACGGGCCGCCTAGTGCAGCATCACTAGTACAACACGCAACCACACTGAGAGCTCCACACTAGCCGGTATAGGCGAGCACCGGCGGCGTCACGGTCGCCGGAGTGGACCGTGGACGCACTGCACACACACTGTGACCGTGTCGACGGTGTGACAGTGAGCTGACACAATCGTCGGCGCCGCGCTATCGCGGCGCCCCGCAGTCAACACGCCTCAGGCACACCCCTGAACGCGCCATGGGCGCGCAGATACACCGCAGCGCCGTGGAGAATCCACACCTGGCCGGTCCCGAGCCCCGTCCTGGGCCTCCAGGCGGCCGAAGATCGGCCTTCGGGCGGGATGAACTTGTCGGAAATGGAGCAAACTTGGCGCGGCTCGCCGCTCGCGGTACCGGGTGAGCCTGGATAGGGCAAAATCTGGGGTGAATACGAGGGACAGAGGTCGCAAGTTTGTCGCGCAAGTTTGCGCGGCGTGGCGCTGCCCCGCTGCCGAGGGCGCCACCAACCCGTGGCGGCGGCATTTCCAGCCCAAATTGGGCGTTCCGTGCGCCTTGCCGGCGAGAGTGGACGGGCTGTGCATCGTGGGGGGGGGTGACTGAGAGAGAGGTGGTCGTGTGCCTACTTTGTCGGCCGCGCGCGAGGAGAATACTGGGTGTGAGGCGCGCAGGAGGCGAGGGTGGGCGCGCCGGCGGTCGAGCCACCGAAGAATTCGACGTGGCGCAGCTCCGCGCCGGCGGGGACGACCGAGCACATGATGTCGGCGGCGGTCACGCGACGAGGGAGAGCCGCAGGAGCCCTCTGAGAGCCAGGCGCGCGAAAGCAGCGATGAGTGGCGCTTCGATCAGCCACCTGTGGGCGGCCACCGGGGAGACGGTCAAGCGCTGCCAGGGTTGGATCCGGTGCGTCTCGTATCACTGGTGGGCAGGGTCTGCAGCAGCAACGCTCAAAAAGAGGCAAAAAACGCGACAACTGTTTGGACTGTCGACTCTCTCGACACACCGTCCTCGACCGCGCTGAAAAGCTGGCTGGTGGTCGCGCGCAGCGCGTCAGCGCGGGTCCAACTGGTTCGGCACCTCGGCTGGGTCCATCGGCAAGAGGCCCGCGCCGTCGGGCGGCCCCGGGAGCGCATGGGCGGCCGGCGCTGAGCGGAGGAATGCGGGCTGAGATCTCGCAGCTCTGCCACGAAAAACACAAGGCGCCAGGGGGGGGGGGGTCAAGTATGTTACATCATAATCATTGATATTGATCGCTTCTCTAAGTATTGGAGCAATATATTCAACATTTATACGGATCCTTACCTCAGATAAGTAGAGGTGAGGTGATGAGGTGCGCACCCAAGTCTGGCAACCCAAGATTCGCGTGCCTTCTTAGAGCCTGTTTCTCACCTCTCTCTCAACGTCAGGGTCACCGGTGTCGAGGGGTCGCCTCATGACCAGAGCTCTCGGAGGGTCCATCGTACATCTCGTTGGTCTCTTTCGTGACACGTCGTGACGGGAGGTGCAGGTCCCCGAGAGGGAGAAAAGTTGGATCTTGTTCTTGAAGGGAAGTCAAGTACAAGTCGAACATTTTTATGCAATCAATGTGCTCTTCAGGCCTCAGCCACTGGATCATTTTTTCATACACCAGCACTTTTCGCTCCTTTTGCTTGTTAGCTGCTTGTTGTCACCGCCGTCCGTTGGCTGGCGCGCCAAGCGAGTCCGGACGTGTACTCCGCGGCTGGCACCCCCTCTGCCGAAGCAGTTTTGTTTTTCGCCACTCCAAAGCGAGTCCCGACCTCTCTGCGCCCCGGTTGCCCGTCGATTTCTTTTTTCGCCGCTCGGATCAGTCGGCAGCGCGCCTCACCGCCGCTGCACCGTGCGCGCCGTCTCACGTTCTAGACCAGCAGTCATGACCTCGCCGCTGGAGTTCCTGATCCATGGAGGAGCTCACCTCAGACAACCCCCGCAGCAGGTCCGCGCGCGCGCGCTCTGGCGCCAGCCTGGCGCCAGCTGCGGGCCGCGTCTGTTTCCGGGCCCAACAAAGCAGGTGTGAAGAGACGCTGTCACTCCTCTGGTGACAACAGCAGCTAACACGCATAAAGACACGAAAAGCGGTAGTGGAGGAACGAATGATCTACGAGTAGTGGCGAAAACAGAAATCGAACCTCCTTTGCGCGCCAACCTTGTCCTAAGCCATGGGCAGACCGGCGGACTTGGCCTTGCTCGACGGCAGCAGCGGGGCGGACTTGGCCTAACCGCCGGCTGATACGACGAGTTTTGCCATTGAAGGATATACCTGAACAGACGGCCGCGGCTGATTCCTTTCTACAGCCTTCTCTGCAGCCTTGGGGTGAGCACTGGTCAAAACAATTGAGTGTACTATCGTTTGCAGCAAATTGCGCTGCAAATGCGCTGCCAACGATACTTTATGGCTTTGGAGTCTCTGCACTCTGGTGGGGTGGCGCGGGGGCCGTAAGGTAAGGTAAGGTAAACGTCTCCACACACACATAGTGGTGGGGCAAGGGGGGGCGACCCTCGCATCTCCACGCCCGGACACGGGCAGGAGCCCCACGGCATTCAAAGTGCAAGCACCGGCCCGGTGCCGTGGGTGAGCAACCTGCACCCCACTCCCTCCCTCCCAGACACAGGACCCACACACAACCCCCACAGCGTGGACGACTACGTGTTCAGAAACACCAAGCAGCGAGGCGAGGGTGAAGGGGTAAGGGGCTGTGTGGGGCAGAATCTACATCTGACTACTCCATCTAGCCTGGGGGGTCGGAGGAGGGGGGGGCAGAAAGGGTAAGATATGGTTGAAGCCAGCTAGCGGTCGGACGCCCTGTCGTCGGAATACTCCTCGGAGCCGGTGTCCTCGTCGTCGTCCTCGCCCGACGCGGAGATCGGGCGAGAGGTCTGCATCGCCTCGCCGGCTGTGAACCTGAACACGGCGTCGGCCGGCGCCGAGGCGCCGGCGGCCGTCATCAGGTGCATGACGAATCTGTCGCGGCATGCCGCATCTATCTCTCCATACTCGGCCAGCTCGGTTGCGAGCCAGTCCGAGGCGACGGTCGTCGCCACGGTCCCCTGGGGAACCTTGGCGTACACCTTGCTGGGGCCGCGCCGATATCCGTCGTCCCTCTCCGGGGGCAGCGAATATTCGACCTCTATTTTGGACCCGGCCTGGCTGCGCGTCTGCGCAGCTGCAGTCCGCAGCCCGGCCATCACGTACTGGATGTTCTCGCGCAGCTGCGCCCGCGGGGCCTCCGCGCGCTCGGCCTCGCTCGCGGCGCGCTCGCCAGCCTCCTTCGCCCGGCGCGCCTTCTGCCGGGCCTTCTTGGCCTTGCGTGCCGCGGCCCGAGCCGCGAGCTGCTCCTTGGTGAGCTCCTTCTTCTTTGGCGCGGTGCGCTCGACGTACGAGCGCTCCGCCGCCTGCACCGACGCGCGGTCGCCCGCGGCCTTCTCGTGCTTCAGGTCGATCTCGATGGTCGCGTAGCCAGGCCTTATCAGCCTGACCTGCGACGCACCTGCGATCCTTGCGACCATCACCGCGTCCTCCAGTTGCACGCGATCGGAGCCATTCCAGCGTCCGCTGCGCATCCCCGGCGGCATGACGGTGGCCGGCGCTTGCGCACCAGCCCCGTCCGCCACCGGGTCCGCGGCCGCGGTCCCTGTCATAGCTACGCGTGCCATGGATCGGCGGTTACACGTCGGTCGCGGGGGCCCCCGGTGCCCGGTGAAGCACCGTGCGTCAAAACAATTGAGCTTGCACTATCGTTTGCAGCAATTGCGCTGCAAATGCGCTGCGCCAACGAGATACTTTATGGATTTGGAGTGACAGTATGGATTCCGGGTGACACAGAGGTTGCTAGAGCAGCCCCGCGGAGCCACAGGTAGAGTAATTGTCAGCGGGATGCACACAGAGAGGGGATGCTCGAAGTTCTCTATTTTATCCCTCCGCGTCTCGCCGAGCTCCACCCTCCAACCGTGCCGCGGCGAGATCGCCAAATCTACACACGGCCTCGGCTCACGGCGGCACGCGCGCCACGGCGCGCACCTCCGCCGCGAACCGCTCGATGGCGGCGAGGAAGCCAGCGTGGCACGCCTTGGCGCGTGTCATGCCCGGCTTCTCGACGTTGGCGAGGCAAACCAGCAGCGGCGGCACTCCGCCGCTGCCTCCGCCATGCGCTGCTCGCGCCGAAGCGCGTTGCGGCGGCGGCGGCGGCGGCGAGGCGGCGGGCGGGTCGGCGGCGGCGGGCGAGGCGCCAGGCGAGGCGGCGGCCTCGCCAGCCTCCCCCGGCGGGGGCTCGTAGCAGAGGAGGAGGGCGGCCGCCTCGAATTGGACGTAGTAGCCCTTGCGCAGCGCCTGCGCGAGCTCGTCGACTTTCGCCGCAAACGCCTCGAGCGCCGCCGGCCGTGCCGCGGGCGGCGCCGCGAAGAGGAAAGGCCCGAGCAGCAGCGCGGCGAGCGCCTCTGAGTTGGAGAGCAAATCGTCCCCGACCGGCGCCGCGCCCGGCGCCGTGCAGCCCGCGAAGCGGACCTGGTGGCGCGGCACGACGTCGCGCCCGTCCGCGACGCGGAACGCCAGCACCACCGGGCTCCGCAGGTCGGTCGAGCGGCAGCGGAGGGAGACGCGCTTCCTCAGCTCCCTGCCCCCCGCCTCCGCCACGACCAGCTCGACGGCGCGCTGGCACGCTTGCAGCGGCGGCGGAGGAGGCGGGGGGCAGCCCCCGCTCTCTGCGCGCGGCGCGGCGGGCGGCGCGGAGGGCGGCGCTGCGGCGGCGGCCGAGGCGGCGGCAGGGTGCCTGGCGAGGCCCGACGGAAGACCGCGCAGCACCGGCTCCGCCGAGGCCTCGTCGACGAGGGCGTTCGAGACGCCGCGCCACTCGGGCAGCCAGGGCGCGAGCTCGGTGTAGGCGACGCCTAATTAAGTGTGAATCAGAATAATTAGTGTTAATTAGCCAGGGCGCGAGCTCGGTGTAGGCGACGCCCTCGTAGAACTCGTCCTCGTGCAGCTTGATCCACCTACACATGAGTGGCGAGTAACGCTCATTCACCCGCTGACTCGTGGACTACCCCGTCCTCGTGCAGCTTGATCCACCCCTCCGCAGCGCCGGCAGCGAGCCGCGCGTGCGCGGCGGCGATCCGAGAGCCGAGGGAATGGACGCTCTCGTCGACGACTGTGCCGACGTCGGTGGCGTCCGAGTCAGCGTCGGCGCCAGTCTCGTCGAAGCCGTCGGCGTTGTCGGTGGAGGAGTCGATGCCAGAGCACTCTGAGCCGAATCCCGCCTTGAAGCAGGAGCACTCCGCGCCAAAAGCGCCGCCGCTCGAGCTCGGCGGCACCCGCCCCCTCCCCCCGGAAGGGAAAGGGCGGCCGGCGGCGGAGACGGCGGCGGCGGCGGCGGAGGCGGCGGCGGCGGCGGTTGGCGAGGCGGCGGAGGCGGAGGCGGAGGGAGGGGCGTCAGTGCGGAGGGAGGAGAGCTCTGCGGCGGACGTGACGGGCGAGATTGCGGCGGAGGAGGTGCATAGCGACGTCTCCGCCCGCAGCAGCGCCTGCAGCTGGTGGCGCAGCACGCGCAGCCCGTGGAGGTAGCCTAAGTAACAGTCAGCTAGTGTTAGCTGGTGATGAGTCTTCGTATTTCCCGTGGAGGTAAGCCTAATTAACAGCCAATCAGTGTTAATGAGTGACTAGTCAATTCGTCTTTCCCTCAGTGCGCCCTGGATAGCTATCTCTACATCGCTATCTCTGAATAGCGGACGCCCTGGTCGAGCGACGCGTGCCGCAGCTCGTACGAGTGCGCGAAGTCGATCATCCGCACCTGACGAGCAGTCACAATCAATCACCGTTGATCATCCACCAGCGTCTGCGAGCGCGCGGAGTCGCTCATCCGCACTTGCGGAAGCCGCGGCGACCGAGCCTCAGCCCGCCCCGCAGAGCCGCCCCCGCCCCCGCCGGCAGCGCCGCCGCCGCCCACAGCGCCGCCACCGCCGCCGCTGCCGCTGCCACTGCTGCCGGCGCCGCCAGCGCAAGAATCAGAACAGCCCGAGTCGGCGGCGGCTGCGCGAGCGCCGGCGGAGGCGGCGGAGGCGGCGGTGGCGGCGGCGGCGGCGGAGACAGCGCGCTGGGCGGAGGCGGCAGAGGCGGAGGCGGCGGAGGCGGCGGCGGCGGGAAGGGCGGAGGCGGAGGCGGCGGCGGCGGAGAAGGGGCGCGCCGGGTCGCGGTTGCGGGTGTCGGAGGCGGTGGCGATCGGGCGAGAGGAGCCGCGGGGAGGGGATCCGCGGGGAGGGGATCGGCCGCCTATTATTATTATGATTACCATTATTATTTTATTAATAAGGGGAGGAGATCCGCGGGGGGGGGATCGGCCGCCGGCGCTTGTGCCTTTGCGGGCGAGCGGCGGCGGCGGGGCGCCGGCGAGAGCCCTCGGCCGTGCAGGGGAGGCGGGGGAGGAGGAGGCCGTGTCACGGCCAGAGGTGTGAAGAGGCGATGCTTACAGCTGCCGGGAGGAGGGAGGAGGGAGGCGGGGGGGGGCTGGGGTGGGGGGGGGGAGGCCTCGAACTCCGGCTCGAAGACGAAGAGGAGGGAGGAGGAGACGAGCTGCCAGCGAGGAGCGGACTGCAGCACCTGTTCACGGCCAGAGGTGTGAAGAGACGCCGCTCACAGCTGCCATCGAGGAGCGGACTGCAGCACCTGTTCACGGCCAGAGCTGTGAAGAGGAGGGAGGAGGAGACTAGCTGCCAGCGAGGAGCGGACTGCAGCACCTGTTCACGGCCAGAGGTGTGAAGAGACGCCGCTCACAGCTGCCAGCGAGGAGCGGACTGCAGCACCTGTTCACGGCCAGAGGTGTGAAGAGACGCCGCTCACAGCTGCCAGCGAGGAGCGGACTGCAGCACCTGTTCACGGCCAGAGGTGTGAAGAGACGCCGCTCACAGCTGCCAGCGAGGAGCGGACTGCAGCACCTGTTCACGGCCAGAGCTGTGAAGAGACGCCGCTCACAGCTGCCATCGAGGAGCGGACTGCAGCACCTGTTCACGGCCAGAGCTGTGAAGAGACGCCGCTCACAGCTGCCAGCGAGGAGCGGACTGCAGCACCTGTTCACGGCCAGAGGTGTGAAGAGACGCCGCTCACAGCTGCCAGCGAGGAGCGGACTGCAGCACCTGTTCACGGCCAGAGGTGTGAAGAGACGCCGCTCACAGCTGCCAGCGAGGAGCGGACTGCAGCACCTGTTCACGGCCAGAGGTGTGAAGAGACGCCGCTCACAGCTGCCAGCGAGGAGCGGACTGCAGCACCTGTTCACGGCCAGAGCTGTGAAGAGACGCCGCTCACAGCTGCCAGCGAGGAGCGGACTGCAGCACCTGTTCACGGCCAGAGGTGTGAAGAGACGCCGCTCACAGCTGCCAGCGAGGAGGCGGGCTGCAGCTCCCTCAGCAGCTTGTCGAGACAGAGCACGTAGTGTCGCAGTGCGCGGCGGCACAGCCGCCCCTCGTTGGAGAAGACCGACCTATGACTCTCAGCCGCTAGTTGCGCCATGCTTCTGACCTATTGTGGCGCCCTCGTCGGCAGAAGAAGAGGACCGCAGCGCCGCAGTGAGCCCTCCCGGGCGGATCGCCTTGCCCCACGGCTTGCCTACAATGAAGTCGTATTGATTAATCAACTCATACACGAGGCGGATCGCCTTGCCCCCACGGCTCGCCGAGCTTGAGCCGCGGCCCTCCGTCCGCCCCCGCGCCTGTTCACAGCCAGAGGTGTGAAGAGACGCTGTTCACAGCCGAGCTCGAGCCGCCGTCCGCCGCCGCGACGCCTGTGTGCATCGCGCCGATTAGCCGCACGCCCAGCGAGCGCGTGGTGGTCTCCCGGTCCTTGGCGAGGTGCGTGATGCGCTTCGACCAGGCCGCCTAGCAGCAAGAAACCGGAGAAGATTACTACCACAACAATCATCATACCAATACCTCGACCAGGCCTCGGGCGCGACGGTGGTTTTGCCGAGCTAATACTACTACTATACCTCCGACGGTGGTGGTGCCGAGCTAATGCTAATACCTCAAGCGCGACGGTGGTGGTGCCGAGCTAATGCTAATACCTCTGGCGCGACGGTGGTGGTGCCGAGCTAATGCTAACTAATACCTCTGGCGCGACGGTGGTGGTGCCGAGCTAATGCTAACTAATACCTCTGGTGCCGAGCTAATGCTAACTAATACCTCTGGCGCGACGGTGGTGGTGCCGAGCTAATGCTAACTAATACCTCTGGCGCGACGGTGGTGGTGCCGAGCTTGATGTCGACGATGCACGGCTCGCGCATGCCGTGCGTCAGGTCCTCCAGCACGACGAAGCGGCGCCCGCGGATCGAGCGGTGCCCGTAGAACGCGGGGCAGAAGGCCGCGAGCTCGGGAGTGTCGCGCAGCGTCTGGTAGAAGCGGTCCTCGCCCGCAAAGTAGCCGAGACCGACCGGCTTGGCGATCCTGCCCGGCTCGGGGACGAGGAGCGAGCCGCCCTCGTTGGAGAGGCCCATGTGACCCGCCACCTGGTAGTCGAACGCAGGCAGCAGGTCGTCGTCGTCCAACGAGCCGCCGCGGCGCAAGCCGTCCAGGTACGCGATCAGCCATCGGAAGAGGCGGAGCAGGACTGGCAGCAGCAGCAGCAGGAGCGTGACAGCCAGGCCCGGCAGCGCGTCGGCCTGCATCGCTTGCTCGCACCGCGGCACACCGGTCGGAGATTTCACGCCTCGCTCGTTTGCCGATGGGGCGGTGTCCGCTCCGCGGCCACAACGTCCTGAGAAAAAGAGAAAAATAAACCGCCTCGGGGACACCCGATTCCAGAAATGGTTGTGTCCCCGCTCCTCGCTCGCCCGGGCGGAGGGCATGGCCGCGGAGGAGGCGAGTACGCGCTGCCAGGCCTTCCGCAGACAGCCTCTTGGCCAGACTGAGGGTCGGCTTTGTGTGGCGTGGCCCGTGCGCTGCGCTGCACAAAGCTGCGTAAACTGCGGGAGCATCCTGTGCTTCCTTTGGGAAGTGCGCACCTCCTTCAGCTGGTGGAAGGCCGTGCCGCCGCTCGCCTGCTCCGTGGACAGGGCGGGGAGGCGACGCCGCAGCGCCGCAGCGTCCGCTGCACGCCGGTGCAGCACTCTGCTGCCTGGTGGGCAGCATGCTGGTGCTGTGCGCGGTGTTGGCGAGGCGGCTTTGGCGCTGTGCTGCCAGCCGAGGCGAGTGGCGCGAGGCACGCGCGGCGCCGCGCGTGGCCCGGATGGCGCCAGAGAGCGCTCTCGATGAGCCAGCCGGCGCGGCGCGAGCGCCGTGCAAGCTGGCACATCGTCTGCATGCTGCCGTCGATTCTCTGGTCGACGGCGGTCAATCTCACGATTGTCGATCAAAACCGGCGGGCTTTGTGACGCCGTTTACGCAATCGTTTTTTGGCCTCGCTTTCTCTTTTGCTTGGTTTTATTTTGTTTTTCGTTTGCGAAGCACAGAGGGGGGGGCGGGCGGGCGCTAACTATGGGCAACTACATGTCGAAGGTTCGAGGTCGACTACTCGCCGCCTGGGTCGTTTGGGGCGCGCGGCTCCGTCGAGGACCGGGCGCGCCCCTTTCCCGGCGCGGCGTAGGTCCCACTCTGACGTATAGAGGGGAGGCACGGACAACGGCCCAATTCATCAATTCCACTCATCTTCTGGTGCCTAGCCCCGTGCAGCGGCGGTCCGGCAGGCTGCCCCCAAGGCCCCCCGGGCCGCTGCGGGTTTTGGAGTTATGCTTTGGCACAGCTTCGGCGATGGCGGCCCCTCTCTGGGGCTTGCATAGGCGGGGAGTCTCCCCCGCTGGTCTCCTCATTCCCTTTTTTCTTTTTCTTTTGAGAGCAGGACGCCGGGTTTGTCTTGTATGTGCGTGTCGGGCCGGGGTGTGAGCGAGGGGCAGAAGGGACGGGGGCGTGCGGGGCAGAGGCCCAACGTCGGGCGGCTTGTCGGGGTCCGGAGAATTCGAGGGGGGAACGAGGAGGGGGGAATGGGCGGTCGGCGTCGGGGTAGCAGGCCGCAGGGCGTACGGGGTAGCCGTCACTCTCCTGCCTCGAAAGGGCGGGGCTGTCCCGGAAAGTGAGAGACGCCGGGCAGCGTGGCGCATTACTGAACCCTCCCATACGTGTTTGGGCTTCCTCCTTTGCTGTCCCATCTCCTCATCTCTTTCCCGCCTGGGCGGGGCAGCGGGCGGGCGCGCGGTGCGGTGCGGCGTGTGCGTGTGTGCGACTGCGACAGGGGACCGCTCGAAAGGGACCATTGGGCTTGTACTATTAACAACGAAGGCGCTCTCAAAAGAAAAGCCGCCGGGGTGCATCGCGAGCTAGCGGCTTTTGTCGACTCCCTCGGAATCAGTCTCGTGGATGGCGGGTGCCCACACTCGGAGGCACCGGGGCACCGCGCACCAGGGGCGGCGTCGATCCGCTCACTGGCGCCGCCGAGACGCTCGCCGCCAAGCTGCAGGGTGCAACCGATTCCAAGCTTTGACACCGACACCGCACATACACACAGGGCATCGCGCGGCAGCGCCAGGCGATCGTCATGGGGCTGCGCGAGTCGGTCAACAGCTTCAAGAGTGAGGTGGAGGGGGTGGACGCCAAGCAGGTGATGGACCTTATGCTCGTCACGCAGTACTTTGACATGATGAAGGACATCGGAGCCTCGTCGCGGACCAACGCCGTCTTCATGAACCACTCGCCCGGCGCCCTCGAAGAACTCACCCAGTCCGTGCAAAAGGGGTTCATGGCGGGCCTGCCGGCGGCGCCTGGCTTTGCCCAGCAGCAGCGATATTGATCGAGCGTGGCGGTCGCCAAGCGACCGGGGCGAGGGCTCTTGCGAAGGGAGGGAGTGGGGCGTCCCAAAGGCAAAGCGGCGAGAGTGGAGAGAGTACAGAGAGAGCGAGGAAGCAGGAACACCAACACGGAACAGTTGTTTCAGTACTCAGTTGTCTGAAGTTGTCAGTTCAGTCTCAGTTAGTACACGGATGAAAAAGACGTACACGTAGTTAGTATATTCCGAACCGCAACTGGTGGCCTCAAGCCTCTTGCTGTGGGGCTCACACAGACCCCACATACTGTAGTCGAAACGCGTGTCTCACTCTGTCGATTGGTAGGATTAGCGCCTCGGCGTCGTTCAAGCCCGCTTCACCTTGCCTCCTGGGTAGAACGGGCTCTGCAGGCGCTGATTCTGCACGTCGCGCAGCCTCTCCTTGAGCCGCTGCCTCTGCTCGCGCTCGCTCGCCGCATCGCGCGGCCCCTCGGCCATCGTGTTGCGGATGATGAAGATCGCGCAGAGCAGCAGCACGCAGAAGGCGAAGGCGGCCGAGAGCCGCGCCGTCAGCGTGAGGCGGCCGTCCACAAAGTAGTTTGGGTCGGCGGGGTCTGTGAACCAGACGGTCTCCAGCGTCTCGGTCGAAAAGACGATGAAGAGCGACACCTGCAGCACCGCCAGAAAGTTCTGGAACCAGAGGCAGCCCTCCCACTCGCCGAGGTCCTTTGTCGTGCGGGGCTGCGGCCGCTGGCAGGTGCCGATCTTGGTGAGGTCAGTCCGGATCTAAAGGTGGGGTAAGGTACGGTAAACTTCTCCACACACACGAGGTGGTGGGGCAAGGGGGGGCGACCCTCGCGTCTCCACGTCTAACGACAGGAGCCCCACGGCATTCAAAGTGCAAGGCCCAGTGCGCGTGGGTAAGCGGTGTGTGTGTGTGTGTGTGTGTGTGTGTGTGTGTGTGTGTGTGTGTGTGTGTGTGTGTGTGTGTGTGTGTGTGTGTGTGTGTGTGTGTGTGTGTGTGTGTGTGTGTGTGTGTGTGTGTGTGTGTGTGTGTGTGTGTGTGTACCTCGATCATGTTGTTGAAGAAGACGATGAGCGGGAAGAGCGGCTGCTGCAGCGACAGGACCGAGACGTACCCGAGGTAGAGCACCGCGTCGTACATGTCCCAAAACACGTCGTATGGCGCGCGGTTGCCCTCCCACAGCACCTGGGCGGTACCAGCGAGTCGAGTCAGAGGCCCACCCTGCCACCGCCGGGGGTGCGGCCGCCCTATCGCAGCAACTCGTGCAGCCGGCTATATCTCGGCTAGATCTCGGCTCTCTCTCCCGCAGCACCTCGCGCAGCCGGTTGACGTTCTCCCACACTTGCGAGTCGCCGGCGGGCAGCAGGCGCGCGCGGCTGGCCGCGTGGCCGCGCAGGTCCGCCGGCACTTGCTTGCGCAGCTTTGGCCAGTCAAGCGCGCGCTTGCCCGTCGAGAGCTCGCGGACATGCGAGTGCCAGCGCCGGCGCACCCAGCAGACCTGAGTCGAGATATATATCTCGGCTATATCTCGGCTATATCTCAGCGCACCCAGCAGACCTGAGTCGAGATATGTATCTCGGCTATATCTCGGCTATATCTCGGCCATCTCTCGGTTATATCTCGGCTATATCTCGACCATGTCTCGGCTATATCTCGGCTATATCTACCCACAGCACGGGCAGCAGGTTCTCGAGGGCGAGGATCATCGTGTTCGAGCCGGCGACCTGGAAGGTGACCGAGGTCTCGAAGCCGTACATCCACTCGTCCACCGTCGTGTGGCCCGCGTTGAACACGCGCCTGCGGAGCCAGTCCTCACGGTAACTAAACGAGCCGTGAGGCGCACACCGGCCGACGGCCCCTCGCTGAAGGCGCGCCAGCCGAAGATGGTGTTCGAGCGCGCGAACTCGGGGTCGATGACGCCGTCCGCGTCGGAGTGCTGCCGCACGACCGGGATGTGGATGAAGCCGAGGATCCAGTACCAGAGGTAGCCGTCGACCTATTCGTTAGTTACTAACCAGTACCAGAGGTCGTCATCTAGCGATGATCCGTCATGCATCATGACTCCGCATTATTTATGAATCAGTGCCAGAGGTGGCCGGCACCCAGACGAAGAACATTTCGAAGATGTATCTCGGCTCCATCTCGGCTACATCTCGGCTACATCTCGACCCAGACGAAGAAGAACATCTTGAAGATATAGGCCGACTCGAACTCGGATTGCGTGCGGTAGTTCTCGAACTCGGTGAGGTTGCGCGAGATTGCGCCGAAGAGGAGCAGCTCGAGGCCCATGATGATAGAGCCGTACATGAGGCCGTTGAGGGCCTGTTGTCAGCCCACCACTCGCTCATCACACACGGCGGACAGGCTTCCGGGCGGAAGGCCGCTGAGGGCCGAGGCGATCAGCGTCTTCTTGAGGCCGGAGTAGTACTCGAAGGCGTTGACGTAGTGGAGGTAGATGAGCAGCGTCAGGAAGACGAGGAAGACCTAGACACTTCCTAGACACCTCCTAGACACTTCCACATAGCTGAGCAGCGTCAGGAAGACGAGGAAGGCCGTCTGTAGCAGCGTGACGAGCAGCGAGAGCGCGCGCTTCGCCAGCCGGCGCCACTCCGGGTAGTACCGCTGCTCTCCCGTCGACTTGTTGTGCCAGCACTGGAACTGCGGCCGCTCGAACGAGCGCGGCTCAAAGTGCTTGACGCCCCACGCCACCTGCAGGAAAGTGCACAAGAGTACCCGAGAGTACCCGAGAGTACCTGAGAGTACCTGAGCCGACCCGAGCCGAGATGACCCGAAGCGGCACTCCCCACGCAACCTGCAGCTCGGCTATATCTCGACTATATCTCGGCTATATCTCGGCTATATCACGCAACCTGCAGCTCGGCGCAACGCATGTCTCCCCATATCTCCCCCATATCTCCCCATATCTCCCCACGCAACCTGCAGCTCGGCGCGACGCCGCTGCCAGAGCATCAGGAAGTACGAGCCCCAGAGCACGATGGCGGCGGCGTAGAAGGGGAGGAGCGCCGCGTAGACAGGGGAGCCGTACTGGCGGGCGAGGAAGCGGACGGCGAAGACGAGAGGCCCTACGGGAAGGTTCCGGGAAGGTTCCGGCGAGAGGGTCGGAGGCGGGTCGAGCGGCCGGCAAGCAAGGGGCGGGCCGAGGAGTGCGATGGGCAGCAGCGCGCGGTTGGAGAGGTCCATGAACGCGAAGTAGAAGGCGATCTCCTCGCCGTAGTGCGACCTAGACATTTCCTAGACACTTCCTAGACACTTCCTAGACATCTCCTCGCCGTAGTGCGACCTGGTACTGGCTGTGCACTCTGACACTGTGAGCAATCTTCTCAATCTCCTCGCCGGCGATGCGACCTCAGCGACGCGAGCTGAGCGTCCGACAGCCAGAGGTTGTCCCACGCCAACGAGCGCTCGAGCCGCCGGTTGAAGTCGATGTCGTGCACGGGGTAGGCCGCCTATGAGGAAGTGTCTAGGAAGCGTCTAGGGAGTGTCTAGGAGGTGTCGAGGTCGTGCACGGGGTAGGCGCCTATGAGGAAGTGTCTAGGAAGTGTCTAGGAAATGTCTAGGAAGTGTCTAGGGAGTGTCTAGGAAGTGTCTAGGGAGTGTCTAGGAAGTGTCTAGGAGGTGTCTAGGAAGTGTCTAGGAAGGTAGGCGGCCTCAAACAGCTCCACGCCGCCGACCCGCCACGAGGGGGGCGGGTAGCCGCCTATTAGGAAGTGTCTAGGAAGTGTCTAGCAAGTGTCTAGCAAGTGTCTAGGAAGTGCCACGAGGGGGACGGGTGGCTGCCCTCGGCGCCCAGCCCGTCGTAGCGCGCGTCATGCGGGTAGCGCAGCTCTGCGCCGCCGTAGCGCTGCGGCAGACGCAACAAGCGGTCGATGATTTGCACGGCCTCGGCGGCGGTGGGCGGCTCTGTCTGGTAGTCCTTGAGGAGGGAAGGGTCGCCTAATTGATCACTCAATCAATCCATCCATCCATCAATTCATCGATTAATGAAGGAGTCCTTGAGGAGGGAAGAGGGTCGCCCTCACGCTCGAACCGGTGCTTGCGCATCCGCTTCGTCTCCGCCTGAGGACGTGTCCCGGACATGTCATGGACGTGTCATGGACGTGTCCTGGCCATGTCCAGCATCCGCTTCGTCTCCGCCTCCAGTGTCTCGTCGGCTAATCTCGGCTAATCTCGGCTCTATCTCGGCTGAATCTCCGCCTCCAGCGTCTCGTCGCGCAGGGAGAGCAGCAGCAGCAGCTGCTTGCCTCGCTCCGCGTCCTCCTCGGGCGTGCGGACGAGGGGGAGCTCCTAATTAATTAATGAATACTTAATTATTATTGATTAATTAACAGCTCCTCGGGCGTGCGGACGAGAGGAAGCTCCTGCGCGTTCACCTTCATGACGGACGTGTCGAAGCCGGCCTTTTCATTCATTCATCGGTGAGTGAATGAGCGGGTGAAGTGAGACCTTCAGGACGGAGGTGTCGAAGCCGGCCTTGTCCAGCTGCCCGAGGATGCGGCCGAGGTGGTCCGAGTCTCGCAGCGACACCTTCCATTCACACCAGCGAGTCAAGCATGACTCCTCGGCCGTGACTGAAGAGGTCCGAGTCGCGTGGCAGCGCCATCTCGAGCAGCTGCCATATCTCGGCTATATCTCGGCTAATCTCGGCTATATCTCGCCATCTCGAGCAGCTGCCATATCTCGGCTATATCTCGGCTAATCTCGGCTATATCTCGCCATCTCGAGCAGCTGCCATATCTCGGCTATATCTCGGCTAATCTCGGCTATATCTCGCCATCTCGAGCAGCTGCCATATCTCGGCTATATCTCGGCTAATCTCGGCTATATCTCGCCATCTCGAGCAGCTGCCATATCTCGGCTATACCTCGGCTAATCTCGGCTATCTCTCGCCATCTCGAGCAGCTGCCATATCTCGGCTATACCTCGGCTAATCTCGGCTATCTCTCGCCATCTCGAGCAGCTGCGCCGCCGAGTCGGGCGAGAAGACCTTGAGGCGGTCGTGTGGCGAGGGCGCCTGAGTCAAGACGAAACTAGTCGGCTGAAAGTCAAGAGGAGACCGTGCGGCGGTCGTGCGGCGAGAGCGCCTCGTGTAGCCGCGCGCTCAGCCGCACCCAGACGCGCTCTCTCCCTCGCACGGGCGACGAGAACCACCGCGTTTGGTGCAGCGCGGCGAAGCGCTCGTTGGTGCTGACGGAGACGATGCGCAACCTAACCTCGGGGCCAGCTCGGCGTCAGCGCGGCTGATCTCGCTGTTGGCGCTCACGGAGAAGAAACGCCACCGCAGCTGCGTCGCCTACAGGAAGGGTCCAGGAAAGGTCTAGGAAAGGTCGGAGAAGACGCGCCGCCGGAGCTGCGTCGCCGGAGAGAGCGACGGGCGCGCAACACCGCGCGGCAGCTCCAGCGCCAACGCCGCCAGCGCCTCCTCGACCGCCGCCGCCTGCTTGGAGCGGAGCAGCAGCACCGCCACCGGCTGCGGCCGCTTGCGCAGCTGGGAGAGCCAGCTGCGCATGCCTGGCGCGAGCACGCCTCGCACGCCTGGCTCGAGCCCGGTGAGGGCCCGCCTATGAGGGAGGCGTCGAGGAAGTGTCGAGGAAGTGTCGAGGAAGTGTCTAGGCTCCAGCCCGGTGAGAGCGCGCTCGAGCGCTTCCAGCGCCGCCTCGCGGTTGGCGCGGTCGGTGCGGAGGAGGTAGGAGCCGGACGCGGGCTTCGATCGCGCACCTGTCATAGCAGCGTCGCTTCACACCTCTGGCCGTGAAGAGTAGGAGCTCGACGCGGGCTGCGATCTCGCGCACCGCCGCGCGCCCAAGAAAGCGAAGGAAGTGTCTAGAAGTGTCTAGGAAGTGTCGATCTCGCACCGCCGCGCGCCCAAGAAAGCGAAGGAAGTGTCTAGAAGTGTCTAGGAAGTGTCGATCTCGCACCGCCGCGTGCCCAAGAAAGCAAAGGAAGTGTCTAGGAAGTGTCTAGGAAGTGTCTAGGAAGTGTCTAGGAAGTGTCGATCTCGCACCGCCGCGTGCCCAAGAGAGCAAAGGAAGTGTCTAGCAAGTGTCTAGAAAGTGTCTAGGAAGTGTCTAGGAAGTGTCTAGGAAGTGTCGATCTCGCACCGCCGCGTGCCCAAGAAAGCGAGGTCAGCACCGGCACAGAGGGTACCCTTGAGAAGAGACCGGGCGGGGGGTCGGCCTCGCTCCCCGGCGGCGGCGACGAGCGCGACGGGGGCGAGGAGCCCTCGGAGCGTGTGCCAAACATCGAGAGCGGCCACATCGCAGCCCCACTCGAGGTGGCTAGGCCGCTACCCTCTGGCGGCAGGGCGGCGGCCGAGGCGCAGTCGGCGTCGGCGGCCGTGCCGGCCGTGGCGCCGGCGGCGGAGGCGGCGGCATCCGAGGCAGACGCGCCTAAAAAAAGAAAGACGCGCGGGTCCCTTGGCCGCATGTGCTGCCGCCTGTGCCGCTGCGGCAGCCTCGCCGCCTCCCTCCGCCGGGTCGTGCCCTCCTCCGACCGACCCCTCGCCCGCCTCCACCTCGCCCGCCTTCACCTCGCCCGCCTCCACCTCGCCCGCCTCCACCTCGCCCGCCTTCACCTCGCCCGCCTTCACCTCGCCCGCCTTCCCCTCGCCTGCGTCCTCCCTCCGCATCCGGTCAGCCTCGGCGAAGGCCGCCGCCGCGCGCAGCTCGACGACAACCTCGCCGATGTCCTGCCCGCCCGAGTCGAAGAGCTTCAAGGAGAGCTCGCCACCCTCCGCACGCGCCGCTGCCTTCGCCCACTCCGCGTACAGCCGCCCCCGCGCCGCCGCGAGATGCTCCTCCGGACTCTCGCCTACTTGAGCCACACCCGCAGGATCGGCACTATGACGGATCTCCAGCCGAGACTCCTCCTCCGGACACTCGCCCGCGACGCCGCGCACGCCGCCGCGCTCGGCCGCCCCTTCCGCGCCCTCCTCGCAGCGCGACTCGACCTTGGCCATCGACTCGATCTCGTCGATCAGCCTCGCCGGGTCCCGCCTAACGGATCGTGTACTAATTAACGAATCTCGCCGGGTCCCGCCTAACGGATCGTGTACTAATTAACGAATCTCGCCGGGTCCCGCCTAACGGATCGTGTACTAATTAACGAATCTCGCCCCGAATCGGAACGAGCTAATCTCGGCTAGTCTCAGCTAGGCCCCGCCTAACGAGTGTCGGAACGAGCTCAGCAAAGCCTCCCTCTCACGGGTCGGCCACTCTCCGGAGCACGCCACGGCGGCAGCCAGCGCGCTGTGCCCAGCTCCGACTCGCGGCCGAGTGCTCCTAGACACTTCCTAGACACTTCCTAGACACTTCCTAGCACAGCTCCGACGCGCGGCCGAGTGCTCCTCCGACGGCGAGGAGCGAGATGGCGACCGCGTGCGTGCCCCCGCTCTGCGCAGCGAAGAGAGCCTGCTCATACTTGCTCCGCGCGCGGTCGGCGCCTCTCGCCGCGCCCTCCTCCGCCAGCGTGCTGCGCGTGCTGCTCTTCGCGGCGCGCGACGCCTCTGCCGCTCTGCGGAGGCCTCGCAAGTGCCGTATTGCGTCGGCGCCGTCGCCCTCGCTGGTGAGCGCGCCGCGCAGCCAGATGTGGAGCGCCATCTGCGCCGCCGTGTACCGCTGCAGCTTGTCGCTCCCGCGCGCGTCTGCGCCGTGGTCCGCGCCAAAGTCGACCTCGAAGCCTATGAATGATAACTGATGAGTTATTGATTACTAGCTCCAGAGGATGGCGCCAACGTCGACCCCGAAGCCCTTGCCGGCGGGGAAGCTGCCGCCCTTGCCAACCTCGAAGCTGTACTTCTCCCAGTGCTGCGCGCCGCTCGCCCAGCTGCGCAGCGGCGGCGGAGTCAGCTCGGCGGCAGCGGCCGAGAGCGAGCCGATGGTCGAGCGGCCGATGGTTGATCGAGAGCGAGAGCTGGCCGCTGGCTCCGCCCCCTCCGACTCTGACAGCGGGGCGTAGCCTACAGGGAAGGCTCCGGGAAGGTTCCGGGAAGGCTCCCCCCGCCCCTTGTGCCTGAGAGCGGCGCGGAGCCGGAGCGAGCTGCGCGAGAGGCGGCCCGACGCAGACGACTCCGCTGCGGGGCAGGGAGCAGCTGGCGGCAGAGGCTCGCCTGGAGCACACGCAACGGACGAGTCCGCTGCCGCTGTCATGGGCCGGGTCATGGGCAGAGGGGCTAGCGGGCGGCGGCGGCGTGCCTCGGAGGAGCGCCACGCAGAAGGGGAAGGCGCGCCCCGCACGGTGTAGCCGGCCATGTCGCGCAGGAGGAGAGCGTAGCTGAAGCGGAGGGGCGCCCCGCCCGCGCCGGCCTGCGCCTCCTTGACGGCGTCTGTGAGGCCGGCCAGCTCGGGCCGGGAGGCGAGGTAGGTCCGCACCTGAAGAAAGGAGTCCATCGAGTAGCAATGACAGCGGCCAGCTCGGGCCGGGAGGCGAGGTGGGTCCGCACCGAGGCGGCGGCGGAGGCGGAGAGACCGTTCGGAGACCGGGCGAGCGGCGAGGTGCCTGTCGATGGGACTCGCAAGAGTTGGCGCACTTGATGATGAGCAATCGTGTGGCGAGCGGGCGAGGCGCCCTCGCACAGGAAGCGCCACTCCTTCTGCTCGGCGGGCGCCTACACAAGGACGTGTTGCGGACGCGTCCCGTGGGCGTGAGCCGAGGGCGTGTCCCACACCCTTCTGCTCGGCGGGCGCCAGCTGCGGCGGCGGCAGCGCCGCGTAGTGCACGTAGCCGAGCGCCGCTAGGTCGTGCTCGCGCACCGCGTCCACCCACTGCCCGAGAGCGGCCAGCAAGGCGGCAGCGTCCCTCGAGATGCTGGCCGAGGGGGCGCTGCGCACGGACCCCCCTGCAGAGGGTGGGCCTCCAGAGGGTGGCGCGAGGCTGCGCCCCTCAGCCTCGACCCTCGCAACCAGCCGCAGCCTCTCCAGCGCCGCAGCCTCCTCCCCCTCGCCCCAGGCAGCGGCGCCAGACGGCGCCGCCGGCGAGCAGAGCGGCAGCGGGCGGCAGCCGGGCCGCAGAAGAGCGCCGGCGAGCCGGAGCAGCGGCGCGGCGGCGTCGACACCCTCCTTGGATCGGCCGTCCAGCCGCGAGTACTCCGCGGCGAGGCCACCCCGCCCAAAGACAACCTGAACCATGATTATTAATTATTAATAATTATTACTTATTAATTATTATTAACCGCCCCGCCCAAAGACAACCTGAACCATTCATGAGTAGCAGCGCGTGAACCAAGTGAGTCTCTGGCGCGAGGCCTCCGCCCCTCCCAAACGCAAACCTGCCAGCCGCCGCCTCGCTTCCACGCGCCAACCAGCTGCACGCTCGCCGCGTAGACCCCCTTGAGCGCGCCCTCTGCGCGACGACGGAGCTGTCCTCGCGTGGCGGCGCGCCCAGACTCGGTGTTGAGGTCGCACCACCACGGGTGGAGCATGCCTGTTCACAGCTGGAGGTGTGAATAGACGCCGTTCACAGCTCGGTGTTGAGGTCGCACCACCACGGGTGGAGCATGCCTGTTCACAGCTGGAGGTGTGAATAGACGCCGTTCACAGCTCGGTGTTGAGGTCGCACCACCACGGGTGGAGCATGCCGAACGGAAGCTCGTCCGGCAGCGCGGGTGCGCCGGCGGGTACGCCGTAGTCACGCTCCTATCAGTTCGAACAGCGGGGCATGCAATGGGAAGAGTACGATCTCATACTTTTATAGCGCCGGAGGGCCGGAGGGGAGGCCATAATAGTCGCGCGCCTCGCTCAGCGACGCCTCCTTGAGCGAGCGGAGCCTATTCACAGCAGAAGGGTGTGAAGAGACGCTGCTCACACCTCCTCCTCCTCGAGCGAGCCGAGCCGGGGCGGGCGGCGCGGCGGCGACTCGTGCTCGGCGGGGGCACTGAGCTGCCCGGGGGTACTGCCGGACTCTCGCCGCCCCTCGCCGCCCGCATCCTCTGCGAGGCAGACGAGGGAGGCGGCGCCCGACTCGTCGAAGGTGGTGCAGCTGCGCCGCTCGACCTGCTCAATCATCACGCACTCATTAGCACCCGGCTGGTTCTTAACTAGGTGTGGTGCAGCCGCGCCGCTCGACCTGCCCTCGCGCGGCGTCAGGCGAGGCGCCGAGCCGCCACCTGCCCTTGTCCACCAGCGCCATCGCCTCCTGCACGCCCTCGTCGATGAGCCGCAGCAGCCCCTCCTGTTCACAGCCTGAGGTGTGAAGAGACGCCGTTCACGCCCTCGTCGATGAGCCGCAGCAGCCCCCTTCCGTCGTCTGCGTCGCCCTCGCGGCTGACGTGGCGCGCTCAGCCTCGCCGGCCGCCCTTCCCGCGGCGGAGGCGGAGGGCGGCGGCGGCGCTTCTCTCGACGGGCTCACGAGGAAGGGCGGCGGAGCCCCCCCCTCCGTCGGCAGCGCGAGCGGCGACGGCGGGGGCGCGGCCATCGGAGTCGGCTTGCTCCGCTCGCTCGCCTGCGTCGGCGAGTGCGGCGGCGCCTCGAGGAAGGGAGGCCGCGCCTGGGAGCGTCCGAGAAGGTCGGAAGAGTGTCAGAAAGGGGGTCAGAAAGGGTGTCGGAAGAGTGTCAGAAAGGGGGTCGGAAGGGTGTCGGAAGGGTGTCGGAAGGGTGTCGGAAGGGTGTCGGAAGGGTGTCGCCTCGAGGAAGGTCGCCGCCCCCTCGCCCGCCCGCCCGCCGAGGGGAGTGCCGGGCAGCGAGCGAGCGCGCGCGGAGCCCGCGACGGCCTTGCCGCCGATCGCGTCGGCCAAGTCCGGGAGGAGGGCGCAGAGGGCCGCGCGCTGCGTGTCGACTCCCCGCCTGGCGTCGGCTCCAAGTAGTGCTCATCAGTGCTACTCAGCATGACCTAGCGTGTCGATACGAGTAGCGTGTCGACTCCCCGCCTGGCGTCGGCTCCAAGTAGTGCTCATCAGTGCTACTCAGCATGAACTAGCGTGTCGATACGAGTAGCGTGTCGACTCCCCGCCTGGCGTCGGCTCCAAGTAGTGCTCATCAGTGCTACTCAGCATGAACTAGCGTGTCGATACTAGTAGCGTGTCGACTCCCCGCCTGGCGTCGGCTCCAAGTAGTGCTCATCAGTGCTACTCAGCATGAACTAGCGTGTCGATACTAGTAGCGTGTCGACTCCCCGCCTGGCGTCGGCGCGCAGCGAGCGCATCGCCGCCGACGGCGAGTGGAGGTACACCTAATTAGTATGCGTTAGCACTAGTTAGCACTAGCTAGCATCAATTAGCGAGCGCATCGCCGCCGACGGCGAGTGGAGGTGGGAACACCTGCACGGCGAGGTAGAGGTGAGGAGCAGCTCCAGCGCAATACATGAGAACAAAACAGAATAAGGTACACCTGCACGGCGAGGTAGAGGTTGAGAAGCAGCAGCTCCAGCGCTCGCAGCCCGGCGCCGAGTGCGTCGGCGAGCAAGCCGCCCAGCGGCGCAGGGTCCTCGGGGCGGGCGAGCGGAGGTGCCAAGCCGCGATCGCCCCAGTAGGCTCCGCTACGCGTCCTCTCCGAAAAGACGACCTCGAGTCCGCCTGCTCGCGGTAATGCGAACGAGTGTGAATTGATACGAATCAACACTAATCAAGACGGCCTCGAGTCCGCCTGCTCATCTCACAAAGAGGCACGTCAGCATGGCCCAGCTGACGAGCTAGCGGATGAGCTCGCGACTCTGCCGAGCGAGAGGAGCAGCGCCGCCGCACAGCACCCCTCCACCACGAAGGCCGTCCGCCTTAATCAATAGTACTGGGTGTCACTTCGTAGAGCAACTAGACCGCCCTCCCGCACGAATGCCGTCCGCCGTCCGTCGCGCAAGTGCTCTCTGCCGTGCAAGCCTACGCGTTGGTCGCGCGTGGACTTCACTGGTGAGTCGCCGGCCCCGCACCTCCTCTCTGCCGCTGCGCGGCCTCGCGGCGATCGGAGGGAAACCCACGCGAAGAGGCCCGCGAAGTACAGGCCGGTGGCCGCAGCGGCGGCGGCGAGGCCGTCTCGCAGCCACGCTTGCGACGGCCACCCCGCGAAGGAAAGGAGGGAGGCGCCTATTAGGAAGTGTCTAGGAAGTGTCTAGGAAGTGTCTAGGAAGTGTCTAGGCCACCCCGCGAAGGAGAGAAGGGAGGCGCCGGTGAGAGGCGGCTCGCAGCGAGGGGGGCGAGGCTGCTCCTCGGGGCAGGGCGCGTGCGTGCAGCACCCGCCGGCCAGCTCGTTGGCGAGCGAGGCGGCGAGGCGGGCGGCGAGGGCGGCTGTGCCGGCGGCGAGGCACAGCTTTGGGAGCCAGAAGGAGGAGAAGGTGCGCGGGTGCTCTGCCAGCGGCGTGAGGTCGTCGTGTGCGAAGCTGTGCAGCGAGACGAGCCCGTAGAGGACCTGCTTAATCCGTGCTTAATTAGTGTGTAATTCGTGTGTGATTCGTGTTTAATTCGTGACGAGCCCGTACAGGACCTGCTCACCGCTGCAGGCGTGAAGAGGCGCTGTTCACACCGTGCGGCGGAGACGAGACCGCACACGACCCACACAGCGAAGCAGCAGGACACGACGCCGGAGCTCGACGCCGCTGCGACCGGCCCCCACCTAATTAATCGTTAGCCTCGATTAAGTAACCACTTAAGCCCGACGCGCCGCTGCGACCGGCCCCCACCCCTCTGGCCGCAGCAGCAGCAGGGGGACGCGAGGGCCGCCTGTTCACGGCCAGGGTGTGAAGAGGCGCTGCTCACCGCAGCAGCAGCGGCAGGGGGGAGGGCATCGGCGAGGTCCACCCAAGTCGAAGAAGATAGCCGCGATGAGAGCCCACGGCAGCGCTCGCTGCTGCGGCGTGCGCGCGCCGGCGCCTGGTCCATCCCCAAAGATGAGCCGAGAGGAGCCGAGATGGTCCGAGATATGGTCCGAGGTGGTCCGAGGTCGCGGCTGCTGCGGCGTGCGCGAGCCGGCGCCTCGCAAACGGCAGCAAAAGAGGAGGAGGAGGAGGAGGGCGGCGCACGCGCACCCCAACTCGGCACGCAGCTGCAGCGCCGCCCAGTCGGCCGTCTCTCTCCGGCTCCACAACACAAGGTCGCCGAGCGGCGGGTGGCGCCTGTCGGGAGGTCAACGACGCGCTCAACAAGTAACAGTCAACAGCTCATACAGCACGCAATCGCCGAGACGCGGGTAGCGCCTGGCCGACGCCCCACCGACCTAGGAAGTGTCTAGGAAGTGTCTGGGAAGTGTCTGGGAAGTGTCTGGGTGGTGCCGCCTGTCCGACGGCCCACCGACCCCCTCGGAAGGACGCAACGCGAAGCAAAAGGCGTAGCGCATGCCACCCCCATGGCTGGGCGGAGGCGGAGGCGCGTGAGGGGGGCCAACCTCGCCCTCCCCGCCCTCCCCGCCGCCCTCCCCGCCGCCCTCCCCGCCGCCCTCTCTCCCGCCCTCCCCGCCGCCCTCCCCGCCGCCCTCCCCGCCGCCCTCCCCGCCGCCCTCCCTCCCTCCCTCCCTCCCTCCCCCTCCTCGGGGTCCACCTATGTCAGCAACTCATCACTCATTCACGAGTCTGATTGACTCTATCACGTGGCTCCTCTCCGCCCCGGCCGCCGCCTCCTCTCTGCGCGGAGAGCAGCTGCGCACTCGCCCACCCCTCCGCCGCCGCGCTCGCGAGCTTCGCCTGCAGCCACGCCGCCGCCGCCGCCTCCCTGATCCCGAGCTCGGGCGCGGTGCCGAGCCCCTCCTCTGTGTGCAGCGCCACCGGCCCGCACGCCTCGTCCCTGACGGGCACGTCCATGACACGTCCGGGACGTGTCCGAGACATGTCCGCAGGCGCGCACGCCTCGCGCCCCGGCTCACACACGACTCGCACCGTCGAGCAGCGAGCAGGCCGCACCCCCACCCACCCCCCCTCCCCCCCACCCGCCGCCCCGCCCCCCCCCACCCCGCCCTCCGCCGCCTCGCCGCCGTCGCGCCTGGCGCCAGCCTCTGCCGAGGTGTTCGGGGGCAGCAGCGCCATGAGCTGCACCGACACGTTGAGGAAGAGGACGACCCCCTCCGTCGCGTGCCTAGGAAAGGAGCCCGTCGTCTGCTCGTCGGTGCACCAACAACAGTCGCCTTCTCTCCGCCGCGAGGGCCTCGTGTTGTTAGGCGCGGAGGAAGTGTCTAGGAAATGTCTACAGGAAGTGTTTTGGAAGTGTCTTGGGAGTGTCTTGGGAGTGTCTAGGGAGTGGCTAGGGAGTGTCTAGGGAGTGTGTCTAGGGAGTGTCTACGAAGTGTCTACGAAGTGTCTAGGGAGTGTCTAGGGAGTGTGTCTAGGGAGTGTCTAGGGAGTGTCTAGGAACTGCCTCGTGTTGAAGGCGCGGAGGAAGAGCGTCGCGGACGGTTGCAGCAGCGAGGCCGCGGGCGCCTCGACCAAGACGGGTGCACCTGTCCATCGTCAGAGATGCGGTAATTAATAATTGATAATTAATCAATAATTAATCAAGACGGGGGCGCCTGTCCATCGTCAGGGATGCGGTCGGCCGTCACTCGTCGAAAGCTGTGCAACGCGCCTCCACCAAGACGCGCGCGCCGCGCAGCACGTCAGCGCCGGCGCAGGCGGAGGGCGAGAAGGGCTGCAGGGGCGACGCGCAGCCCTGTGCCGACCCGGAGGTGACGACGGAGACGTAGCTCGAGGCGGGCACGAGGGGGGGCACCTGTCGTTCACGAGTCAGAGGCAGTGACTGACTGACTGCAGACGTAGCTCGAGGCGGGAGGGGGGGAGGAGGGGGGGGGGGCACCCAGTCGAGTCGGAGGACATGGGGAGCACTGCCGACGACGGCAGAAGCCGACAACTGCCTCGGCGCCGAAAGGTTGGCGACAGCCGGGGCGGCGGCGGACGGCGAGGCGGCGCGGGCGATGGCCGCGGTGAGAGGAGGCGGAGTCGGCGCAGGTGTGTGCGTGGCGAGGTGTGTGGCGTCGGCGACGGCGGCGTAGACAGAGAAGCTGGCCGTGAGCGCGACGCCGAGTGCGACGAGGTAGAGGGCGGCGTGCACCTAGAAATTGATAACTCATTAATCAATCATGGATGAGTGCGGCGAGGTGGAGGGCGGCCTGCGAATTGGTGATTAATAGCTGGTGATTTGCGATTAGTCAATTCATCATCGATGGCGAGGTGGAGTGGCGGCGTGCACCTGCAGTTGATTCTGAATTCTGAATCATTGATCATCAATGAGTGCGACGAGGAAGGGGGCGCGGCGTGCACCAGCAGCGAGGTGAAGTCGAGGGTTGTCGACATGTGCGACGAGAGCCACGCCTAAAGTGTGGCGAATCCATCGTTGCACTCGTAAGGCACGAGTAATAACACGTGCGCCGAGAGGAGCGCCGGCGCTGCGCTGCGCCCGCCCGCGCCCGAACCCTCGCCGCCGCCGCCGCCGCCCGAGGCGAGCGAGAAGGCCCGCTGCGCTTGGCGGGGCTCTCTCCTTTCGTCGAGGCTGCCGCGCCGCTCCCTGCCCGCCGCACCCTCTCCCCCTCCCTCCGCCGGCGCATAGAGCTGGAGCCGGTGCAGCGCCTGTGGTAGTGACGAGTTGTTGCGTCACCAGTCAGTGAGACGCGAGAGCGGGAGGAAGAGCGAGCTGCGGTGCAGCGCCTCCAGCAGCGCCGGCTCCCGCTCCGCAGGCAAGCGGTGCGAGAGGTCGTTTGCAACCGCGCCGCCGCCGCCGAAGCCGAGCACCCGCGCGGCGGCGGCGCGCAGCGCCTGCTCCGCCCCCTGGCGCAGCGACGTCATCATGAAGAGCCGCATCCTAGACACTTCCTAGACACTTCCTAGACACTTCCTAGGGCTCGGGTCGACGTCCTCATCAAGAGCCGCATCCCTTTCGCCGGCGAGGAGGCGACGCAGAGCAGCCAGCAGGCGGTGACGGCGACCTAGGGCTCGGGTTTGGGGTAGGGGTAGGGGCAGGGGTAGGGGGCAGGGGCAGGGAGCAGGGGTAGGGGCAGGGGGCAGGGGCAGGGGCAGGGGTAGGGGTAGGGGCAGGGGGCAGGGGCAGGGGTAGGGGTAGGGGTAGGGGCAGGGGTAGGGTTCGGGTTCGGGTTCGGGTTCGGGCACGGGTCAGAAAGGCAGAGCAGAGCGGCAGGCGGCCGGTGACGAGCACCGCGTGGCGGAGCGGCGCGGGCGGCGGAGGCGCGGGCAGCAGGCCCAGCGCTGCGGCGCCTGGGGACAGGTGCGGCACGGCTTGGTTCGCCAGCAGGCGCAGGCAGGCGGCCCTCGCGCTGCGGCGCCGTCTGCGGCGGCGGCGATGCAAAAGGCTGGCGCGGCGAGGAGCAGGGCGGCGAAGAGACGAGGCCGCGTCCCGTTGTGCGCGGCGGGCTCGACGAGGAAGGTGAGGACAAGGAGGAGCTGCGCGCGACGGGCGGGTGTGAAGAGACGCCGTTCGGGGGGGAAAGCGGGGCAAGGTAGGCAATAATC